AGCCCGCACAGCACGGCCCAAGTTCCGCGCTCTGCGATTCCTCTCACCCGGAACCCTGCTCCTCCTCCTAAACGCTCCAAACCGTGGGGGTAGCGAGCTCGTCCTTCTTGAACTTCCCAATGCGAAATCAAGCAAGTCCAAAATCCTACGACGTCGCAAGCTCCCTCGAACCTTGAAGATTGGGCTAGGACTCGATATCTGTCAACTCGGAACAAACCCGCAAGGCCAACAACAAACGGTCATCGCAGCCAGCGGCAGCGATAACTCCATCCCTCTATTTACCCTAGAATACGGACCAAACCGCGGTTACAGCAACTTCCGCCCCTACACAACCCTTCGCGACGTGCACCCCTTCTCAATGACAAAACTCACCTTCTCAACCTTCATCGCACCCCAACACCCCGTAACCCCAGACGTCGGTCCACAGAACATCAAACTCGCTTCGGTCAGCATGGGCAACACCGTCGTCGTACACACATTCCCACTATCCCCCTTCCCAACCTCCTCCCGCACCCCACGCTACGTCCTCGTCACCCCAGGCCCCTCCGAGATCTGGGAACTAGTCTACAGCATCATCATTCTACTATTCTCCATATCCGCAATCTGCATCTCAATGCTCGCCTTCGCCGAGATCCGCGGCGGAACCCCGCCAGTCCTCGGCGCCACAGAATGGCTCCCAGAGAGCATCCGCGGAGCCATCGCACGGGAATACGTCCTACCCCCACGGGATAAGCTGACGTATTTCGATACACTTCTTGCGCCCCGCGGAAGCGGCATTGGCACCGATATCCCAGTGGCAACTATCGTTTCCACAGACTCGCAGATTCAATCCCTCCGCGAAATCCTGGACCGTATACACCGCGCCGGTGCCGCACCCGCTGATCTTGAAACCATCGCGCCGCAGTCCCTATCTGTCATTGTGCGGTGCACTGCAGGTCAGAATGCCGAGGAGAGCGTCATTATCGAGACTGCTGTGTCTGCATCTGCGGACGAGTCCGAGCGGGTTGAGGAGGAGAAGCTGCAAGCTTGGAAGGATCTCTCTGTGCCTGAGCAGAGTGTTTGGAAACAGAGACTTACGGATGCGGGGCGTTGGACGGCTTCTGAGGGGGAGAGTGTTTTCACTGGGGTTTTGTTTAGTGAGGCTAGTGGGGGATTGGGGAGGGCTGTTAGGGAGGAGTTGCCTTGATTTTCTTTTGCTGGGGGAGGTTTCAGGGTTTGGGTTTCTTTTGTTCTTTATGTACTCCATATGAATTGCTATATACTAGTTTTACGCTTGTCAATGATATATTAGATCCTATTTAATGGTCGTGACAAAGGCCGCATAAGCAGCTTACTATTTTGTTCATGAAATCAAATCAAAGTCAGATGGGATTTTAAACTATTCTTCGCTTTTGTGCAAGGGCACATAATACAGTGCAAGTTGCAAAATCGTGAACGTCATAGGGGGGAAACATGGTATGTGTTTTGTGCAAGCGTTGAAGAGAAGTTGAAAGGGAGGGGAAAAAAAAAGATCAAACAGATCAAACGCCAAATTATCCACGCCCAGGGTTGTGTATGATAAGTAAGTAGAGCAGACCAGCAATGATACCTCCAATGAAGAGTGCAGTGAAGGAGACGGGCAAAGGAACACGGGGGAAGAGGGTGGTTCCTGTGAGAATGTCAAAGGGAGATGGACATCTAAACGAAGACGAGTAAATGGGACCCAGGTGTTGTTGCTCCAATGTGTAGTAAATGAAGAGCAAAAGTGAAACCTCGGTTATTTACTAGCCGGTAGCCTTCTTCCAGCGGAGCAACTCAGCCAGACTAGCTAGGCTGCATCCGGTTTGCAGGAATTCGTGGGCGAGGAGCTCGTCAGCAGAAGCGCGGCTGTGAACATTGACACATAGGCAGACGCTCAGGAAAGCCTTGAGCTCCTTGCTTAGCTTCTCGGGCTTCTTGAGACGGGGGGTTCCATTGGTGGCAATAAGGTAGAGGGCCTTGAGGGGCTCTTCATTCAGGTAGGGGGGCTCCGACTCGATCATTTCGATGGCCATGATGCCCAGCGACCAGCAGTCAACCTTCGGGCCATACTCCTTCTGCTTGACTACTTCGGGTGCCATCCAGTAAGGGGTACCGACCATGGTAGCGCGCTTGTTCTTGTGTTCGGTCAGCTTGGCGCAGAAGCCGAAATCAGTGATCTTGACGTGGCCGACACGGTCGAGGAGGACGTTGTCACTCTTGATATCACGGTGGATGATGCTCTGGTTGTGCAGGTGGGCCAGACCCTTGCAAGTCTTTTGGTCAAATGTTAGTAACTAGATGAAAAACAACCATTGGGTGGAACACATACCTCAGCACAAATTGTCGCGATCTGACCTTCAGTGATTACTGGGTTATTATCAATCACATCAGTCAACGCGCCACCCTCCATGAACTCCATGACAACCCAGAGTTCATTACTTGATTCCTGCAAGAATGAGTCGAGGAAGTTGACAATATTCGGGTGCTGGCTGTCCTTCATGACAATAATCTCGTTGACGATTAACTCCTTGCGCGGCTGACTACGCAGGTCCATCTGCTTGATGGCCACCTGGCAGCGTGGGCCGTAGGTCCGGTAAAGCTCGTGGGCAACACCTGAAGGTGCGCTTTCCTTAACCCGCGCCACATACACGGATCCAGACGCACCCTGACCAATCTTGCGCTGCTTGCTGTAAGACTCGTTCGGGTTGTCCTTGGATACGACAGATCTTAGCCGCTCCATGACCTCGTTCTCTGACATGGCTGACATGCGCACCTCCTTCTGGCGCGGCTGATCTGCCTTCTTGGTAAGAGCAGCTTCGGCTTGGCGAACGCCATCGGGGACGGCCTGCTTGGTCCCGTTCTGCTTGTTGGCAATGTTCAACGGCTTCACAGCTTGAACGGGAGCCGGCAGGCGTGTTGGAGGGGGACCGGCCTGTCCCTTGGAGCCGTTTTGCTGAGGACGGTTCGCTGAGCCTGGGGCTCGGGGGTCACTGGGAGGATAGCGGGAGCTTGGGGAGCCCTGGCGGTCATCAGCCCTGGGAGCACCCGGTGCTCGGGGCGCGCTTTGACCGTAGGGACTCTGCGACGGTGGCGCCGGTGCAGGACGCTGTGCGGTGAGCTGCCGGGGGTCTTGCTGGCGAGTAGCAGAGCTTGGAGCCTGAGGGGCCGGGCGGCTTGGTTGATAGCGGCTATTCTGTGACGGCTCGTCGCCACTATATCCACCAAGCTCCTGTTGAGCCATATTAGGACGGGTCTGCGGGATGGATGCGTTGTAAGCATCTTGCTCCTCCTTGTTGCGACGTTCCTCCTCCACGCGGCGACGCTCTTGGTCAGCCATTTCCTTCATCCGTTCCACTTGCTGCTGGTGGTCTGCAGCACGGTCCGCCTGTCCAACCGAGGACGACGCAGAGCGCATAGAACCGTCAGACTGTTTCGACTGACCGCTATCAAGGCGCTGCATAGGTCCTGGCGGGGGAGGACGCGGGGGTGCAATGGAGCTCCCAACACTATTACCGTATGCCTTGGGTTGACCATTACCATTGGGCGGGGAGTTGATTCCAGCGTAGTATTGCGGATTCTGCTCACGCATCTTGATATCTGAGTAGAATTCAAGAACCTCAATGACAGCCTGGGGGTTCTTCTTGTAGTCTTCCTTGGTGATAGCCGAGGATGTCAAAAGCTTCTCCCACTCTGGAGGCAAGCCCACAAAAGCGCCGGTATTTGGGTCGAAGCCGACATGAACACGGTGACTGAAGTTTGTGGGGTTGCTGACGCCGCCCATTCCAGGGCAGCGCTCGTAGATCTTGTCAATCCACTCATAGATTTCATCGTCGGATTTAACCTCGCAGGTAATGGTCTTGGTAGGTAGGTCGCGGGCAAGGAGCGCAGTTTTGGAGTTTGCATCCTTGGGGTTGGCTAAGCGAGTGACCTCGAAGGCCATCTTGGAATCCTCGGAGCGAGCGACAGCGGTGACCGAGGACAAAGGGAAGGTAATCACTACCTTGCCAGAATCACTCTTTAAAAATTCGAGTTTATATTCACGTAGAATCAAGTAACGTGTGTTCCAGGTTGCCAAGAATTTGTCCTCTTTGCAGCGGACGGTGCCTTCTTTGATGATCGAGATTCCATTTTGGCCGGTATTACTCCGGGTCATAGCCAGCGAAGGGTTGGTGGTGTTGGGGAAAAGCGAAAGATTGGCCGAGGATGGACCGGGTGTGATCGGAGAGTCCAAGCTCATCTGACCGAAGGAGGAGGTTGTGCTGTTGGTGGGTAGGGTCAATTTGGGTCGATCGGTAGGGGGCCGGGGGGCTGGCCCCGGATTCATGAACTGCTCCGACGCGTACATGTTGCTATGGAGGGTGAGTAAGATGCCACCAGACTCGGAGTAAGATATAGTACGGTTACATACTTTCCATACGAAGTCATTGTTCAAAGGACTTCACAGGTCGCACAGGGGGGGTGGTCGGAGGGGGGGGGATGGTGTAAACGAATGCGCCGAGACCTCCTGAGGCCTTCCAGACCGGCTAGCGCTAATAAACGGGGATCAGTGACTGCATTCAGGGAAAGAATGATCCAAAGAACGTTTCATGATATTTTCCTTGTCAAGATAATCGAACACACGAAGTTCCCGGGACAAGGGGAGAGAGAGTATCAAGGGAGCCGAAGGAGGGGTAGAAATGGGTACCTTTTTTAGAGGAAAATCAGGAGCGGCCCTCGCACTGCGAGGATGCTCGAGAATCAAGCAATATCAGACGTAAAGAGGATCAAAAAAGAAGAACAAGCTGAGAGTTGGGGAAGAATGGAGAGAGAAAGGGGGGAAAGAGATGATCCCCTGAGATAGAGTACTTTGGAAGTTCATCTACAGAAAACAAGCGTCTACCAATCAGAACAATCCATTGGGGGATTGGATCCACGGCTCACTTTTTATACAAAATAGATTTCTATTTTATTTTAACACTGGATCAACAGATATGTTGTAGATTGTATTGTACATTATAGTGTTATGGCTCTCCAAATGGATGATTGAACTTCAACAATCCATTCAATCCACCAACCCAGCCCTCGTGGGCTTCATATCCCACACTCCGTCGCATCACACTGGGTACACCACCTTGCCACTCATTCTTCCCATGACGCATCTCCTCATTCCAAACTCGAACTTCCATACCAACTGCCATCCCTTTACCTAAATTGACCCCATCCAGACTAACTTCGAGTTCGCGCCCACGGTTCTTTTCGCTTAGCCGTAGCGTTATCGGGGTACTGGAAGGGAGAACCAATGGCCGGAAGCTGAGGCTACGCGGGCAAATAGGCGTCAAAAGGATAGACGGGACTAGAGGATGCACAATGCTACCCCCACTACTCAGGCTGTAGGCTGTACTTCCCGTCGGCGTGGAAATTATAATTCCATCTGCCACAGCCTCGGTCAGGAACCGCCCACCCACAAACACATCTACCACAGCCAAGTGGGGTTCCTTGCCACGGTGGATGAGGAGCTCATTCATCACATACACACCCTGGCCCTGGTCGGTCTTGGTCCGGATAGGTGTGGTTTCGGTTCCGTCGGCGGTAAACAGTCCTACTTTCAACCGATTGCGCATCAGAATGCGGGCCCCGCGCGTAGAGCCCATTGATTTGCCCCGGACGGAGGACCACCCGGTCGGACCCATCTCAGTTTCCTGTTTTGTGGGTGCCGCTCCCGGGATATCTTCCAACACAGGCGTTCGATCCCCTGCTCCGGCTCCAGACATGTAGACTTCTCGGAAAGCTCGCTTAAACTCTGAGAACTTCCACTCACTCAAAAAGCCCAACGTACCCATGCTGAATGATAGAACGGGCGGAACATTGGAACAGGTCGCGAAGAGGGACGCTGCATGTAGAATCGTGCCATCCCCCCCAGAGTCACCGTGAGGTCGACTTTATCGTGAAGCGCGGTCGTTTTTTCGTCGAGAGAAACCGAGTAGACAGGGAAAGAGAGTGACGAATGTACTTCAGCGGCAGTCTTTGACTCGAGAATCACCGCGATAGATGGGTATGTAGAGGAAACATGACTTGAAGATGTCAGCCTTGGGCCAAGTTGGTTTCCATGGGCATGTCTCGATCTTACTTGACGAATTCAACCAGGGAATCGGTAACCGCCGGGGCGCAGTCTTTGCGCACCAGGAAGATATTTCGCGGCGGTGCTGGCCACTGGAGACACAGGAGCTCCCCGTCGCAGGATTCTAAGAAGATGCATTAGTCTTCGAATCAGAAACAAGACTGGTCCAAGACAGCTCCAAGCCAGCTCCAAGCCACACCTTGGTATTTTGGTATTAGGCGCTGAGACAAAGAGCCGATGTCTTTGATCTCGTGACGTGGTTGAGACGTGGAAAAATGGCGGAAGGTGAGGCGGGGACTCCTGCGAAGGATGTTGCAGAGCATATTGTAAGGAGGATCGCAGGCCTATCGACCTTGGTCATGTGCATAAGCTAGGAGGACTCCAGGAGGATTCGACCTGAGTTACTCACATCAACACGCCATCTTTCAACCCAAGATAGGAACTGGTAATGAGCTGACACAAAAGGTGGTTTTAGAGATCCAGGATCTCAGAGGGGTCTCCGAGAGATCTATCACAAAGAAAGAGAGTTGTCAAGTAAATACATGAGAAAGTTAACGTGACGTTATGAGGCTGTGACCGTCATTTTGGATCCACAAGATCCGCCTGATTTTCCCCTCCAACTATTCAAAACTCTCCAACTTGTCCAGCTCTTCAACACTTATCGCTTTGGATTCCACAATCTATTCTCTTATAACCCCCCTTCTTTACCCTGGAGCATGGCAAGTCATTTCATCTTCTAGCTTCTGCCTAGCTTTTGTTGTGTTCTGAGCCCATACTATCGACCATCACTATCTCCGCATCCGACCAGACCATTTCTACGTGTGGGCTCTGTACAGCTGTAGAAGCATTCACTAGCTTCCAGTCTAATACTTGGCTTTTTACAACAGAGATCCCCCGGATCTCCAAATTTCTACTATGGAGCCTGCCGAGGTTCGACAGCGCAAGCCACCGACCGCCGAGGATCCCGGGGATCTTCAGAAGCTCTCGACCAAACCACCTTCCGAGCCCCGTCTCAAACATGGCATTCCCATGCAGCTACTGCGCTCGCTTCTGCTGATAACATGGGCAGATTGCTGTATAATGGCGATCTGCGTGACGCAAATAATCGGCGCCCCGCTGTATCTGATCAACAAATATTACTACTATTCGTATATGGCATATACAAAACAATGTTTTGGACTGGTTCTCGGTGCTGTCACCCAATGGAGTTCTCCAACGCTTTTCCGGATCAGTGGCGATACTAGCGTACGTGGACAAATCCATATATCGAAAGATGGATTGCTGGAGACCAGGTTCCCGGAGCGTCTCGTCATGATCTCAAACCACCAGGTCTACACTGATTGGGTCTACCTCTGGTGGGTTGCATACACCAACCAGATGCATGGCCGCATCTTCATCATCCTGAAAGAGTCGCTGAAGTATATCCCTATTGTGGGCACTGGCATGATGTTCTACGGTTTCATCTTCATGGCTCGCAAGTGGACATCCGACAAACCAAGGCTTCAGCATCGTTTGGAGAAACTCAAGACACTTTACACCGGCTCCAACTCAGCCCGCCCACAGTACGATCCCATGTGGTTGCTAATATTCCCCGAGGGGACAAACCTATCCATCAATACCAAGCGACGCAGTGACGCTTGGGGGTTGAAACAGGGACTGCCTTCATTCAACCACATGGTTCTTCCGCGGTCTACAGGGCTGTTCTTCTGTCTTCAGCAGTTGCGGGGAACTGTAGACTGGGTTTATGACTGCACTATAGCCTATGAAGGCCCACCGTATGTTTTCTTTTCCTTTCTTTTCCTTTTTCCTTTTTCCTTTTTCCTTTTTCCTTTTTCCTTTTTCCTTCTTTCCTGTTACTGGGACAGTACTCACCTTTATCTATAGAAAAGGAAGTTATCCCGATAAATACTTCACACTCCGCTCCACATATCTGCAAGGACGACCGCCGACATCAGTAAACATGCATTGGAGACGCTTCCAGGTCTCAAAGATTCCTCTTGATGACCAGAAGGAGTTTGAGGACTGGCTGACAGCACGCTGGGGCGAGAAGGATCAACTCATGGATCAGTTCTTCGAAACGGGCCGCTTCCCATCCGAGTTGGCCGGTTCGATCAAAGCCGATCATGCAGTAGATGGCCAGAAGGTTGCTGCTTCAGCTGGATATGTTGAGTCCTATGGTCGCCTGCATCACTGGAGTGAGCTTGGTCTTATTTTTGTGGTGCTGGTCAGTGTTGCTTGCTTCTGCAAAGTTGTAACAAGCTGGTTGCAATGATTTGAATACCTAACCTAGATATCCCATTGGTAAATATAGTAAATGTCATTTCCTCCATTTATTTTGCTCTATTTTATTCCAAAATAATTGAAGAGCAATGATTTAGACCAGAAAAGGTGAGAATGCGCTTGTTCGATGTATGCGGTGTGGCGGCCTGTGGCGGTGCAGCCCGGCCACTCCAATCGTTTAATTCTCACCTTCTCATCGCCGCGCTGTTAGTCTCCGAGAGTCACTTTTTCGCGTTTTCTCCCATTTCGAGGTCGCTTACCTCACCGGTCCTAATCCCGAAATTTATTTGATGGACCGCCTCGCTTGATCATGAGTTGAGGCTCCTACAATCGCATACCTACTCGAAAAGTGGCCTCATCCCTCCCGTCCCCGGACACACCATGGCGCCTCTTGAGAATGGCCAAACCAATGGCCTCAACGGTGATGCTGTACCTTCAGCTAGCCCATTGAGCAACCTGCGCTTTTCCGACATCCCCGATGCTATCGACATTCCCGCATCCAGCTTCGACAGTGAAGTCGAGGTCAGCTTGCTCGAGCTCCCCGATGACCCGACTGAGCTTTGCACCCTCTTGGAGAACGAAAAAGCGGCCAAGAATTTCTGGGTGATCATTGCGCTCGCCTACGCAAAGCGCAAGCAGATCGACCATGCCATCGACATCTTGACTAAGGGTCTGGCCTCCGTCGCCCACGGAGCGACAAAGGAGAAACTTGGTCTGCTGGGTTGGATCTGCTGGATGCTGCTCCTGAAGAGCCGACACGCTCCTCGAGTTGCACCTGAAGGGGAACTATACTCAGAAGCCAAAACCAAAGATCACTACCTCCAACTTGCGACATCGACATTGAACGAGGCCTCACGACTCAACCCTGCTTATCCTCCTCTTTTCCTGGCGCGTGGTGTCCTGTGCCTCCTTCGTGCATCACTATACCCGCCTCGTGCTGTTCGTCCGGGCGCGATTGATACCTCAGAAAGAGTCGAGTCGCTACGTCAAGCTCTGAAATGTTTCGACGAGTCATCCAAGGCCTTTGGTGGCAGGAACATCATGGCTATTCTGGGACGCGCCCGCGCGCATTACATGCTAGGAAGATACGCAGATGCGCTCGAAGGATACCAAAAGGCTCTGATCAAGATGCCTAACCTCACAGACCCTGATCCTCGTATTGGTCTAGGATGCTGCCTATGGCAGCTGGGCTTCAAGGATCAAGCCAAGGTAGCCTGGGAGAGATCGCTGTCTCTGGTATGTTACGAAAAACACTACAAGTTTTTGTTTCATAGAAATTAACTAATCACCATCGCTATGCAGAACCCCGAGTCTAAGGTCGCCAACGTCCTGCTCGCAGTTTACTACCTCCACGACAGCTCTCGCCGAGCTACCACCGACCCTATGTTCGGGTCAATGTACAAATTAGCCATGACTCAATACACCCAAAAGGCGTTCAAGCTGGACAAGGAATACCCGATGACTTGCTCCTTGTTCGCCAGCTACTTCCTCCTCCGCAAATCATATTCCACCGTCGAGACATTGGCACGCAAAGCCATCGAGCATACAGATGTTATGTCTATTGCTAGTGACGGCTGGTACCTTCTTGGTCGTAAGTCGCACTATGAAGGCGACGATGCCCGTGCTACAGAGTTTTACAACCGTTCGGATCAAGCCCGTGGTGGAGTCGACAAAGGCTATCTTCCCGCCAAATTCGGCGCTGTGCAAATGCAGATCACGAACAAGGACTTTGACGGTGCCAAGTTCCGACTCGAGAAGATTGTTCAGCAATCGAAGAACCCGGAGGCGATGACCCTCCTTGCTGCTATTCATGCGGAAGAAGTCTTCGCTGCCCAGAAGTCAGGCAGCAAGGAAGACAAGTCGACCGAGGCAAAGCGAGCTATCACTCTGCTTGAGTCAGTGCGCTCTATGTGGAAGGATGAGAAGCAAAATATCTCACCTGATGAGTCGGTTCTTGTTTATCTTTCTCGTCTCTACGAGGGCACGGCTCCAGATAAGAGCATGCAATGTCTGACCCAACTGGAACAGATCCAGATTGCTGATATTCCCGAGGATGCTCGACCTGATATCGAGGACCAGGATAAGCAGAACGCCGCTCTTAGGGAGAGTCTCCCGCCGCAGCTCCTCAACAACATGGGCTGCTTCCTATACCAGAATGAGAAGATCGCCCTGGCTCGTGGCTTGTTCCAGTCTGCGCTCAACGCCTGTGTGCAATCCAAAGAAAAAGAGGATGGCACTGATACCGATGCGCTCGTCACCACAATCAGCTACAACCTTGGACGGACTTACGAGGCAGCCGACATGTGGGACGAAGCCAAGAAGGTCTACGAAGGTCTTCTGGAGCGTCACGCTGACTACACGGAAGCCAATGCACGCCTGACATATATTGCCCTTCGCCAAAGCCCTACAGATGAGGGCCCGAAGAGGATTGGCAAGCTTTACGAAGCGGACAGCACAAATCTGGAAGTTCGGTCGCTCTACGGATGGTATCTCAGCAAGGCGAAGAAGCGAGTCGCCAACCTTGCTGAAGATAGCGAGCAACGTCATTTCAAGCACACGTTGCAGTACTATGACAAGCATGATCGCTACGCGTTGACTGGAATGGGCAATGTGCATCTTCTTGCCGCCCGTGACATGCGCCGAGACACAGATCAAGAGAAGGAAAAGCGTCGTAAGATTTACCAGCGTGCCGTGGAGTTCTTCGACAAGGCTCTCCAACTGGACCCCAAGAACGCATATGCGGCCCAAGGTATTGCGATCGCCCTGATCGATGACAAGAAAGACCACAGCTCTGCTGTGCAAATCTTGTCCAAGATTCGCGATACGCTCAAGGACCCCAGCGTGTACCTCAACTTGGGACATGTCTTCGCTGAGCTCCGCCAGTTCTCACGGTCAATCGAACACTACGAGGCTGCATTGTCGAAGGATCGCCAGCGCGATGTGCAAATCCTGGCTTGTCTTGGTCGTGTATGGTGGCTGCGAGGCAAGCAGGAGGCGAACTTGGCCGCAATGAAGACAGCACTAGACTACGCCACGCGCGCACGCGACATCTCTCCGGATCAACTTCACCTGCAGTTCAACGTTGCTTTCGTGCAGAACCAAATCGCCTCGCTCGCATACGGTCTACAGCCTACTCAGAAGACGCTCCAGGATGTCCAAGAGGCAGCGGAGGGTCTCAAGGAGGCCATCGAAACTTTCGAGCGTCTTTCCAAGGAGAAGAACCCGCCCTACCCCAGCGCCGCATTGGAGCAGCGAGCCAACATGGGTCGCACGATCAGCAAGCAGCTTGACCGAGCCATGCAAAGCCAGAAGGAGTACGAAGAGAAGAACGCCGCGAAGCTCCAGCAAGCCCGTGAAGCCCGCGAAGAAGCCACGCGGATCCGGGAAGAGGAGCTGCGCAAGGCCCAAGAGGTCGAGATGGAGCGCAAGAAGCGCATCGCCGAGGAGCGCGCACAGATGGTCGAAGAAGTGCAACGACATGCCGCGCAGCGCGCTGAAGACGAGCGCGCTCGCGAGGATGCCGAATTGACCCAGGACTCCGAGACCGGTGACCGTGTCAAGCGCAAGAAGAAGGCTACCAGCAAGCGCAAGAAGAAGGGCGGGGATGATTTCATCGCGGATGAAGATGAAGGCGATGCTGCTGCGCACAGCGCGGCCGAGAGTGAAGGCGAGACGGCGCCCAAGAAGCGTCGCCGCTTGGAACGCCGATCGGGCGGGAAGGCTCAGGCTGCCAAGTCTGAGAAGCCTGGCAAGTACAAGAGCAGTGAGATGGTTGTTGATTCTGATGACGAAGAGGCTGCTGGGTCTGCTGGGTCTGCTGGTGAAGACAAGGATGATCTATTTGGTGATGACGACGAGCCGGCTGAAGAGACTGCGCCGCGTCGTCGTGGCAAGGCCTCTCGTCGTATTGCGGATGATGACGAGGATGAGGATGAGGAAGAGGAAGAGGAAGTGCAAGCCGAAGTTCAAGCTGCGACGTCTGACCATGAAGACAACGACGATGAACTGTTCGGCGAGGAGCCTTCGAAGCCTACCGAGGATACAGAGATGCAGGAGTGAATTTTATGCCACATTCCAACTACTTATTTTTTTTGTTCCTATTCCAAGTTCTATTTTCCATTTTACTCATCCAGGCGTCTGTGGTTAAGGGGCCATCTGAACAACAATTGATACATTTCTCTCCCCTTGTACTTCACCTGTGTAATTATGAGCCATCGTTACCAGTCACGGAAATCCAAAATCTCCCAACCACCCTTGTGCATTGTTTTGAACGAGACCATTGAACCAAATCAAAATACCCACTAAGCAAATCGGTCAAATACCGGCCTTTACAGATCTTAAAAACCCCAGTAAGAAAATGGAAATACCCAGAAACATTTCGCAGCTAACTCCAAGAGGTGGGAGAAAATAAATTAAAAAGGAACCAAGCCAGGCCCAAGCGCAACACACCTGCATTGAATTAATCTATTCCCATCGAACGTGTATCATATTCCATCGGATCTGTCTGGGATCTCTTCTCGGAATTCCGCTGGGGAAGATCCGTTCATGGGAACTGGGTTCGGGGATAGTCAGACATGGCTTGCGCAGGATCCGGAAATATGGATTTTACATGTGTGGTCAGTGGTGGGATTGATCCCTGTCCTACGGAGCCCCCTGCCACCGGACGGAGCACCGAGCAACTACGAAGGACTTCATACGGAGGACTCCATCCGGAGGATGTGTGAGTGAATTAAACGTGCTCCACGTAACTGCAGATGGGTACGTAGTAGGTGTATGCAAGACGAGGGGCTATGTCTCATTACTGTGCCCACGTTGGATTTGGGGGCTGACTCGTTTATTAGGGCATGTTTTTTGGAAGATTTTCCGTGTCTGTGTGTCTGTGCCTGTGTGTCTGTGTGTCTGTGTGTCTGTCTGGGTAAGATGGCTGTGTTGGACTATAGTACTCCGGGCTACCAGTATAGAGTACCGGAGTCCGAATCTTAAATCGGGAATAATCTATGGTTTCTGAATTAAACATTCCAAACCGGCTGCACGCGGAATTAGTTACCCTTAAGGTTCAGGATTCAAAAGTAAGACAGCACCATGCACCATCCACCATCCACCATCCACCATACACCATACACCATACAAAGCCACTATATCGACATGGAAAATGGATACCTCCTAGGACGCTTTTTTTAGTACAAGGTTTTAAGACAACATCGGAAGAAATCTCTAAATCCCTAAATCTAATACTTCTACTCGGTACGGTTGGATTCCAAGCCTTTCCATATGTGGAGATAGTGCTCTTACAAGGGATAACTCTATTGTCGTTAGGCTTGGTTCCGAGAGGTTTCAGTTTGATAACTTCAGGGTCTATAACATACAAGTATAGAATGTTAGGATATTCACATTTGCTCTATTAAGACCCCCATGACTCAATTTCTATTTTCAAAAAAAAACCAGTCGTTTTAAGAAAAACAAAAACAAAGCCGCAAAACTCATGTGCAATATAGAAGAGATCCAGGTGTAGCGTAGCATCGAGACCGATGATATCAACGGGAACCGCCGTTTTGGGCGTCACCCGCGTCAAACAAGTTAAGGATCGTCAACAAAATCTACAATCGACGGATCATTTCTAGAATCTCTATTACTATGGCCATCACGGCATATATCTCTATATTAATCACAAGGCCGGTTACCAGGGCCATCTAAGGTTTGCCGTCTCCAGTCTTTCTACTACCATCCACTCCATCACAACTATGCATATGTCATAGATCGAGATCTATGTCCACAATGTCTACAGAGTAGCCGGGTAGAACACCATCCAAGCTGCTGCTGAGGTGCTTAAGTTCCTGAAGCACGTCAGTTATTATGCCGCAAACATCTATCCAGAGATCAGGGACGACAGGACAATTAGATATTTAAATGATCTGATCATCGCCCCAGGTATATCGCTGTCAGTCTTCTTCATTGTCCTCTTATAATCTACTTCGGTTAGTACAGGCCTACCAGATCCACACTCAAGTAGTCGTCTAACAAACACCACAGTTTGAACCATATCAAAATGCGTTGCAATCTCTTCAGTCCCGTCCTGCTGGCGATCACAGCACTTGCTGTCCCCGTCCCCAACCAGAACGATGTGATCGGTGATGCTGGCGTTGCCGTTAACGTCGGTGGTGACAAGACCGTTGGTGTCCTCGATCACAAGCGTGATGTTATCGGCGACCTTGGTCTCGCTGCCAACGTCGGCGGTGACAAGACCGTTGGTGTTCTCGATCACAAGCGTGATGGTGGTCACGGCGGTGATGACTCCGGCTCCGATGTTATCGGCAAGCTTGGTGCTGCTGTCAATGTCGGCGGTGCTGATACCATCGGAGCTGCCAGGTAAAGTAACCACGACTTGCTTGTGGAATTGGCCGTCATTCTCAACAAGACCGGAACATCCAAGCTCCGAGGATCTAGTGGATAATAAGGTAGATAACCCAACCTCGAATGGACCATCTAGATCTCATGATCTAATTGTGGGCATTTCATCCTTTGCCTCGAGAAGAGTAAAGCTAACGTGCAACTTAGAATTGGGTGGCCTTCTCAGTTTGGGCCTCGAATGACAAAGAACTGGTGTTATGGATTTGGCTTGATATCACTTTTTAATATTTAATGAGCTTTAGTGCCTGGGAATCAAAATTCTAGGCTTCAATATTTCAATATTTTAATTCCACATTTCCCAATGCCTCGAATATGATGGATGGACTACGAAGTATACAAAGAAACAATGATAATCAGCTATGTCCAATAGTCTCCCATTTGTTTGTTTACTATTTGATCATTCCCGAAGAACCCAAGCTTGGAAGTCCCATGTATCACAAAATATACCCTTGGAACATGAAAGGAGCCCCCTGTACTCCGTACCGAGTACCATCAACATAGCTAATCCCTACCATGTCCTATTATGTAGTACTCAATTTAACGGTCAATGCCAGGTTACATCACCGGGCACTCGGATCGTCGCACATAGTAACATTCAATATTGACTACTAGCGCGCCTATCTCCAATGGAATGAAATATGGTTTGGAGGATTCCGTCTCGGTAGTATGGCAGGTGTCAATGGGCCCCTATAGTTACAACGTTAGCTTGATCCATCCTCCACATGATACATACAGAGTTCCAACGGGCGCATACATATGTACTTTACCCAGATAGGCGACTGTTTGGTCGTGCCCATACTAATATGATAGCGCGGTATGCGATACTAAACTACCCCCGTGGGATTTATGGCCGTCAAGGTTCGGGAAAATGACGGACTTGCAATTGACTCTGAAGGTACGGAGTATGGAACCTGCCTCTCGGGGACCAAACTTTCATGTTTCAGGGGAATTAGATCTGTCGATCTTCGGGAAGTATGGATAGGAACGTGTTCGTGATAGGCGAACCATGTGAATCAAGATGGGGACGGAGTGATAGTCATAATTTACCTTCCCCTGTTATTCTAGAACGTGTCCCTTCAAACCTTGTGTTGCGCTATTCTACGGAGTCGTCCCTATTTTTATTATTATACCCGTGGACCTACACATTGTGTCTATCTTATACCGATTCTATGCCTATATTATACTATTAAGCCACATTTCTACTTTTTGAGGGCTTGGCCCATCTTTAAACCGAATTTGCATTATACTCCAAGAGTCTCCTACTCTATTTGATCTTTCATCTTTGTTCCCAAAATGTCCCCCAAAAAAAAGCAAAAAAAAGATCTGACAGCCGACGACACTCCAATTTCGGGGCATATTCCTGACACAAATCTAAGCTGAGGAAGCACACCGGGAAGAACACCGGGGACGCTTGGGCCTATAAGATAAAGACTGGTACGTACCGGTGCTCGATGACGACTGTGGACGCGAAACGCGAACGACCGGTGGGGATGGGGAACGTGCTTGTTGGTTAGGACCTCCTGAACGGGGATACCAGTACAAAGTAAGTAGTGATTAAGAATATCAATTACCGCACAACGCAGGTACAACATGTATAATGTAGGAACAGAGTCCTTATTACGGAGTAAACGGTCTAGACTACGAGATCACCAGAAACCCACTTTACAACATCGATACACACACTACAACTAGCGGTATATTGGACTTCTGAAATAGAACGAGACAGTTTTGGGTTGTGTTTTGTGTTTTGTTTTGTTTTACTTTTCCCGGGTTTCTCCCTTGTTTCGAATCGTCCTAGCTGCAGGTTAAGTTCCACTTCCACACTAGATAGGAAGTTGACTGTTGACTTATAGACTTGCTCAAGTGAATATTAGAATATGTGTGTCGAGTTACCGTAACGGGAAAAAGTAATGCGCAAGACTTCACCTCTATATTCTACTAATCAATTCTATGTACTACTCCGTGCTTCCAAGGTCATAATATGCACATACCAGGCAGTACAGGCACAATGGATATACCCCGCCCTGAGACAATGCAACTCTCCGACAGGTAAAACGTACGGAGTAAGGGAACGGTGGCTCCCGATACACGGATACTCACATTCTTCAGCTTCATCTTGCATCCCCGAGGAAGTGTGAAGTTTGCATGTAGTCTGATCCGTTTTGCTTTTTTAATTTAATGATTTTTTTTTTAAAAAAAAAAAAGTTCTCAATTTGCATGAGATAGGAGACCGGCACTCCCCGAGGCTTGTAAGTACTAAACAGCCCCTACAGCTAGGCGATATCACAGGAACAAACTTGCATGGGAGATCCTTGCCTGTCCACCTTTTTTCTTTACAGGGATGTTTAGATTGAACTGGAGAAACTGGAGAAATGCCTAGCACATGTATACCTAGGCTATAATACCATTTTAATTGCCTCTGTAATACAATGTTATTATGACTTCTGGAACCCCACTGCCGGAACCCGAAAAAGTAGATTTCGATCTGAGACTATTTCCCAAGCCCTATGTTTTTTTTACTAAACACTAGAATCAATTTTAGGGCCGGAACCTGTGATTAAAACCGTTGAACCGAGGCTCCGCTATACGCGGGGAAGGGAAGAGGCGTTTCTGGTTTCAGGCCTCACGCAAGGCAGAGAGATTGTAGGAAGGGAAGCCCTGGAGGACCTCGAGATATTAAATAGAAATAAATTAGAAACACACATAGAGAATACTACTATGTATCTTGGTATGTACCACCCTTCTATGTTGCATGGGGAAAAAAGGGAATCATATCCATGGATCCAAGCTTCCAGTGTGCGCCCAACTTATCGTGATAAGGGCTTGTCCCTCTCCACTCAAGTCCTAACGTTGCTACCTGGGAGTAAGGATTTAGTACAATATGCAATTGTTTCAATCTTGTCAATCTTGTCATTGGGTATTCAATTGAATATCTTGTCCAATGACATTGACTTGTTACTAGGATAATATGCATGGATATGGAGTACCACTGTAGGAGGAACAATCTATAAGCCAGATCGCGTGTATGTGTTTTTCCCCTCTCTCCCGTGTCCACGGGTCAAAGCTAACGGTAAACCTTGGAACCATGGGTAAAAAATAACCCCAAAAATAAATAAATATCAAAACGGGGCGTATCGGAGGGCTTATACTTGCTGAACAAGGTATAGCTCCTTTTTCTCTTTTCCCCACACGCGGGTCTCCAGCACGTTCAGGACCAACCCCCTGGCTCGATGCATATGCCACTAAGACGGGCTTGGGTATCGGTTCTATGCTGGGAATTCCCGAAGTCCTTGACATGGATCCAAGGTACGTACCTTGGTTACTATCCCGTGTATATTGTATTTGCTTTATTTTTGTTTTCTCATTTTTTAGATTGTTTGTGTATGGAATATGATCAATAGTGACCGAAAGATATATATAAACCCGGCTTAGTGCATGGTGTAACCGTTCTAATTCAAACAAAGAGAGTGATAGGAACAGAATAGCACACAAAATATAGAATATATGACTATAACATCATATACTAATAATTGGGGGGGAGGAAAAAGAAAAAGGAAAAATAAATACCATAAATACCCCTGAACGCGGCTCCACCACTGCTCCGTGTCTTGTATTGCCCTGTCATCGAGTATTCTATTAATTTATTATCATCGGCACGACCTCTTTCTGTTCCACTCGAGAACCGTTCCTTTCCACTTTCGCTCCTTTATGTTGTAGTCGGCGGAGATCTCCAGATTTCGTCTTATCATGGTGTAGTTTCTCTCTTTCACTTCCCACCATGTCGACCTTTCCACTCCCAATGGCTAAAGCCTGGGACAACGACGACGGCAGTGACCGTCCGTCCACGAATTCGTCCAACGAACAACCAGAACATGCCGCACATATCCGTTCCAGGTCCATTGCCCACGCCAACAGCCCCAAGCGTCTATCTGTCTTTAGCGGTCGCTCAAGAAGCAATACCACCACCTCCACTTCTTCACGCCGCTCGCCAGGTTCTTCTATGACCTCGACAGATAGCTCAATTGTCTCTGACGAGCGAGCTGGTTCGTCATTGGGGCTCCGCTCCGATAAGCAGGACAAGTCGTCCCGGTCCTTTTTGGCGCGGGGAAGCCGCATCCTGCGTCGACAGGGTAGCAAGATCAACATCGTCTCCACGCTGGACGAGGAAGACGAGGCCGATCGCGAGAAGGCTCGGCCTGAGAGGGAGATGTTTGGCCGTCGTGCCCGCCATCCCGATCATAGTAAGTGTGCCAGCCACTGCCAGCGGAAATTGTGGACTCAATTGACCCTCGACAATCGATATAGGCGAGCGCTTGAAAAGCATTATCTCTGATCCCTTCGACTTCCACCACTTGACTCATACCAACCCATCGCAGTTCCAGGCTTTGGATCAAACACGCGAGAACGATCTCGTCACTGAGTTTTCGGCCATCCGAGCATCTCAACGGCCCCAGACCGGTTTGAAAGGTATCCGCGCCGAGGATATTCATTTCCGGAATTTCTCCAGCGATGACCTGGGCTCGCTTGGAACTGCCACCACGGTGGATGTGCCCAGCGCAAGCCCGCCGGCTTCTCCAAAAACATACCAGAACCACGCACGCAGGGAATCTCGCGCCAACGAAAACTTCTCGCGGCCAGTCTCGAGATATCCCCGGTCCTGCCCCACCACTCCCCCACCTCCTGCTGTGCCGGAGACTCCTCCGCCTGAGACTGTTGAGCCTGCACCCCGTGCCATTGACGAGATTCTGGGCTTGTCCACTGCGATGACGTACCCAGAGTGTGTCCAATCAGCGCAGCCAACCCGGTTTTTCAGCCCCGAACCCGCGGTTGACAGCACCAGGACCTCGTCCATCGGCAGTCACTATGATTTGGAAGATGTTCCCGAGGAAGAGGAAGGAACTCGGTATTGGGACAGCCCCGAGTCCAGCTTGGGACGTCCCAATTCTGGCACAACTTCTCAAACCAGCCCACCTCCAGCCAATACCCAATCACCCAGCGCCAGCGAGCACAAAGATCCAATGTCGGTCTATGTAGCCGAGGAGCTCTCTAGGAAGTTCTCTGAGGCGCTGGGCTCGCCGACACTTCCTCAACATATTCAGGACACGGATACCCCTCGCGCCCAGGTGGAGATCACACCACCCGAGCCGATCGCCAGCCTGCACCGATTTTCATACGAGGATGAATTGTATAACTCGTGGGACGCAGACATCGACTACTGCTATGAGCACGCAGCCGAGTCCACCTCCAACTTCGATTGGTCTCGCACATCCCTGGATGAAGCACGCCCTCAAGTCGGCGTAGCGTCCAGCGAAGGCCCGTGGCTGGCCCCGAAAACCCGACACCTCCAGCCGAGCCCATTGAGCACCTCCGCCCTACCAACCCCAGACCTGGACCCCAGCCCAGCCCAATCGATGCCCTCCCACTCCGCCCCCACCCCGGCAACCGTAGACTATGAGCAGGAGTTTATCGCGCGGGGCGCAGACTATTTCCATCCCGTCAGTTCCTCGATCCTCCCATCAATGGGCAAACCAACCTTCCACGAGCCATTATACGAGGAGTACATGACGACTGATGGCGAATCAGACCGCCACTTCCCCTTCTCGCAGGGCATGATGGGTCCCATCTCCCCACGCAACAGCTTCTCCCCGATAAGCAAGTGCAACTCGCAAGAGAGCCTGATGCTTTCTCGCGCGGCCTCCATCGTGCGCAAGCACCGCTCCTCCATCTCGACGACGAACAGCGTCCCAGAGCTCATCCACAGCTTGTCCAGCAGCCGTGAGCTCATGCCAACAGACCGCTTGACAGCCGGCGAGGCGCTTACCCGCCCTTCATCATCCTCCCACCACCGCCAGACCAAGAGTCTCGCCGAGGCACACTTCCTCCAGAATGACAGCAGCACGAGTCTTGAGGGCGCGGATCTTACCGTGTCGCTTCATGACCGCGCCAAGTCCATTTCGGAGGTCGAGTCCCAACCGATAAAATTTGAGGCTCCTTTGCCTCCTGTTCCTCCCAGAAACCCGAATCGGAAGAAGGCTCGCTCGCCATCTTATTCTCTCTTCCCAACAACCGCTCACTGAGTATCACTATCGTTATCATCAACCCCCTATTTTGTATTGATTTCTTTTTTTTTCCTTTTTCATCCCTTGCATATCTATCTCACATCTCTCGCTTTGTCATCCGATAGACACCCCTCCTTCAACCCTCTCTCAACGAGTCCACGATCTGTGTTTTCCTTGTGTCTCTGTTTTTATGTTTAACTTGTCTTGTCGTTACTTGTGAGCCATATGTTTTTCTTTTTCTTTTTCTTTTTCTTGGTTCTGCGTGTTTCAGCTGTGGTCAATCTTTCACCTCGATGCATTTCTCAGCGATAGCGAATTTTTACTGGCCTGGTGTCTTGGAAGGGCGATTTGGGAAAACAGAAAAAAAGGAAACGGAAAAGGATCCTTTGGAGGATATTTTGGATTTCGTTTTGGGTCATTCGCTACTCCCTGGTTTTTTTTGTCTCTTTGTTATAGACTTTGATTTTTATAGAGGAGCTCATCTGCTCCAATACCATTCGTTGGCATGACTTTGCAAGTATCGGTGTAGAGTGAGGAAGAACGTGTAGTTGAATTAAGTAAAGACCTATGGAAGGGAAGTAGGATTTTAGCTGATTTGGTATCGATATAGTTCTACAAGATCAGTGCACTCACTGTCTTTGATGATCTGATAGAGGACCTATGATCGCCGTGGCGAATCGTCCATGGGACAAGGAGACCTACTAGCACTTGCAACTTTGTGTCTGTTAATTCTGGTCGACTAAGATGGGAGATATGAAGAAGAGACTATAAGAATGTAAGAAAGTGTTTGAAAAAGTTATTAGAAACAGGCTTCAGCTTCAAGTAAAACATTGTTTGCTGTAAAGATAAAATCAAAATCAAAATAATTTAGTACACAACACATGCAAGCAGCAACTGTTACAGATAATTCTGTTCCATCCATCTCATCACTAAAACCAAGGCCATATATCACCAAAGATTCACAAAGGTATAGCTGCCCCATTCCACAGTGCCCAGGAGGGAGGCGTACTGAGGGGGATCGGTACCGTCACGGTCTGATATCTCTGGTTTTCGAGGTAGCATAGATTGTGAGCAGTCAAATGTTCGAGCGAGGTATTGGCAAGGGCTTCAAATGTACGTCGAGGACTCCAGTCCACGTATCCGTCTCCCAAGCCTGATGTCCAAAGTTCAGATTCTCCCCACATACGCCCTGCGTTGATTCTCCATAGGAGATCATCTGGGCTGAGGCCGGCCCCGAGGTTGATCCATCTCGTCATCACTACGGTGATACGACCATCTGATGGGTTTACAAACAATTGAACCTCATAGTCGGTGTTGCATTGATCGCAGGTGGAATACTGGCGGGCCGGGTATTTGTTTAGAGGAATATCCTGCATCCAAAATGGCTTTGATAAGTTTTTGCAAGCTCGCAGCATGGCGTAGTAATTCTGTTCCGGTTCGAAATAGTCTTCGTCGTTGGCTAGTAGGCGTGTGTTTTCCATTGACATGACATCCTGGATTCTCAAGTGTAGACTCGGTGGCGTAGGGCATATCTGTGCCTCAATTGAAAATAGAGTAGTCGGGCTGACGACTCTGTCTCCCCGAAGAAAGTCATTTGTCACTTCGGTGAAGGATAGTGCATCTGTGCTAATTCCGTTTGGAGGTCCGCGGTAGAATCGTCTCGTAGCAAGGTGAATATGCGAAAAGTGAAGCTGATAATGAGAGTATGTACTGGAACCGTTATGTATAGCCATCCAGAAATGATCATGTAAACCATTTCTAGACGTAGCCACAGGGCAGTCAATGCGAGGCGGGTAGGTATGCGTTGCGGATGATAACTCAAAGGGCTCTGATATACTGTCCACGGCATGAAGGATTAAGCAGGTATCGCAAGTTAAGTATCGCGGGTTATCATGTTCGAGTCGATGTAAAAAGGACAACATGGCATTTTGTTCCAGGTAGTATCTTTGCTTCGTCTGACTCCTGAATAGCACGAGAAATCGACTGTTGCAAAGCGAGAGACAGTAAATATCCTCAAGTTGAAGGAAATTTGCTATTGATCGCAATAGCTCGACAGGAAGGGCGTTTAGGAAATTCGGGCCTAGATATCTCGAGCTAGGATTGGTATCAAATTTGGGTTCAAAACATTGGTGTATATATCGGTTCCAGGCAGGCGTGATAGGAGTGGTCTTGGGGGTTTGGTTGATACAAGGGAGGATTTCTTTCGTCGAAATCAACATTGTGTATAGATGCCTATGTAGGTAATGATGGCAAGCAAGATAGATAAAGAAATATTAGCAATGTAGAAGATACAAAATGTAGAAGAGGCTTCTAATGCTGCAAGGAGTTTATAAATCATGGTATGAGTAAAGATGATGAAAGTGTAGTCCCAAAGAGGCTTAACACCATGTAAAGGGTAAATTGGACCTCTATTAGATCTATGACTATGTACATAAACAGTATAAATAAGGCATGGATACCTAGAAATATATCTCTGAATACAAATCTATGAAATTATCTTTATATCATACATACTCTCTGTTTTAGTCTTTCTGAAGTGGAGAGAGAGAGAGAGAGTTCCGACATTCGAAAGGGAAGACAGGCTTTGTATGTATCAAGACTGTAGTGATTGTAGCAATAAAAATATGCACCAAATATTGGGCGCTTCGTGTCTTTCCAAATCGATTATCTCCTATTAACATCAGCGCCACATGAGCGCCGATCATTAAGCGTACAGAACTTCTAATGACCCCCCAAGAACCCTTCCCAGGTGCGAATTCCAACCTTGGAGCCTATCCAGGTTTAGTCAGTCTTTCTCAACTTTAGAACTACCTTAGGATGATGTGATCTATGCATGCAATATGTTACATAGTGATGTCTGAAGTATGATTACCTAAAGCGGTTAGATCAAAATCATATGACCCGCTATCTTATCGCCACCAACTCATCCACCTCTCATTCCAGATTTCCTTGTTCACTCCCCAAGCCTTTGCTCTACAAACATGGCGTCTACTCCTTCACAGGAGCTGGTCAAGCAATCAGCTGGCCAGCTTATGCCTCCTCCACCACCGCCGAAGCGAATCAAACGCCCTGCGACTGTTCTTGATGAAGACATCTACAGCAACGCTTTGTCCCACATTATCGCCCGCGACTTCTTTCCGGGCTTGCTCGAAACACAGATCAAACAAGAGTACTTGGAAGCCCTTGAATCAAAGGATAAAGCATGGATTGCAAGCTCCAAAAAGAAGTTGGCAGGCGTCATGCGCACGCCCACCCCGGGGTCGAATGCAAGACGAAAGTCAGATTATGCATCGGTTCCGAGTACCCCACAGCATTTCCCGGCGGGACGGCCGGGTGACACTCCACATGGCTGGGGAGGTGATACTCCCATGTCTGTAGTATCGACTTCCACAGCGGCAACTGAAACAGAAGACCGGCATATTCCCGATGTATCGAATATGGGACTGGTCGCGTTCCAGGAAAAGTACACGAGCGAAGACAACGAGTCTTTCAACAAAGTCCTGGACAAGCAGAATGAAAAGCGACGGGGGAAATATTCCTGGCTTTGGAGCGGGAATAAGATTCCCTCCGCTCGACAAATTGCACACCACCAACAAGAAATCAAGCGCATCACAGCTCAAGGCGGAAACCCACAAATGGGCCTTATCAAACGAGACGAGCATGTCCAGCCCGCCATAAAAACAGACCTAGATGCTCGCCCCGCAAATCCAGACTCGTGGAAAAGCCGCCCAGATAACACCCTCATGTTCCTCCCCTCCTCGGTGGAGGATACCCACGAGACGCTCCCACAGAAAGCAGAAATGACATCCCGAGCAGCTCCTAAGCGAACTCTTTATCAGAATACCAGACTTCTAGACCCACATGCCGCAGCAGCAGCGGACGCCGCCAGCTCCGTTCCCCCTTCACCCTCAATATCCGCCATCCAAGACGCCATCGCCGGCCGACCGCATCTCAGCGAGTCCGAAGCGGCATCCGCCTTCGCAGGAAGCGAAACCCCGAGGGTGAACGGCTACGCCTTCGTCGACGAGGACGAGCCCGAGCCTGAATTCACATATGGCTCCAACTCCAAAACCGACGACATGGAAGTTGACTGGCGCCTCCTCGGACCGACCTCTGAAAAGCCAAATCCCTTTCAACTTGGCGAGACTCGCAAGCGCGAAGCCCTGCATCACCGCATGGTCGATCGCATGGCGCGGAACAAGCGTGCTGAAAAGGCTGCTCGTGTTACGAAGACGCCTGTCTCGTTGACGCCGCGATTTGCTAGCAGTCCTCGTTTGGACTTTGGATCTCGGTCTACGCCTGGGGCTGGGTCTACACCTGGGGCTGGGTCTAGTAGGGGCTCTGTCTATGGTGGAGGGAATGCCCAGGGAAAGATGCTTACGCCTGCAGCGCAGAAGCTGTTGCAGCAGGTGGGGACGCCGAGGTCTGGAGAGAGGAGGTCTGGACTAGGAAATGTTTGGACGAGTACGCCGAAGCGAACGCCTACGCCGAGGCGAAAGTGATGGTGGTTCATGACCTTTTTTTTATCTTTTAGCTGCACGATACCACTGAGTTCATAGACTCCCACGGCGTTTTATTCCTTTTTTTTCCCCTAGAAATGATCATTAGATGCCGGTACTGGACGTACTATTACTATTTTTATCCAAAATTTGCAAATTATGAGCATTGGTATAAGAATAGCTGTTATACAGCAATATACTAGACTAAGTCCTAGACACAGGGAGAGTGGACATCGGGACGAACAGGAACCGCACGAAAACAATTCTTACCCGGGCCCGATTCTTCTTCTCCATACTCTTCTTATTCCTTTAATGCAACGACGTGCCCATAAATATCATTCATTTTTACCAGATTTGATATTTGGAAGCTTGGGTTTGGCCTAGAAACTGTGGGTTTGCTCTATATAAATGTTCAAACGTCACTAACGAGATACCAGATTTTGCTTTGAGACTTAATCGGTCTCTATAGTATTTAATTTACTCGTATTTGATTTTGATATACCAGATATCAAGATGAGCATCGAGACACTAGAGAGCAAGACTGCTTCATCAGCATCAGCATCAGCATCAGCATCAGCATCAACATCTGCTACTGCATCTGAAAATATCTCCGAAGCCAAAGAGGTCATCACACCAACACAGATACCAACACCAGACGAAGAGAACGAGAAGGAAAAAGACACATCCAAATCTTCAATCTACTCCCCAGCAAACCTACTCTCAAGTCTCCTCTCTCCATTCTCTTTCTCAAGCACGTCCCCGGAGCCAACAACCACAATACCTCCAAGCAACAACAAAGAAAAAGAGTCCAAAAGTCCAACTAAAATATTAATCGAAACCTCAACCTCAGACTCAACAACACAACCAACCCCAGAACCATATTACACCCCGGAAGAAACACCCCTGTACAAAACCCTCTACAAGACCCGTCTGACCAAAACCCGCACAAAACAACTCCTCCGCGCAGGAGAGCGAGCATACAACGACCCACCACCTCCACCAGGGCTGGGTGATTGTTGTGGCAGTTCGTGTGATCCTTGTGTAAGGGATTTGTGGAAGCAAGAGATTGGAATTTGGAGGGAGAGATGGGGGGATTGGGGGGTTGAAGACGGGACGGGAGTTTCGAAAGAGAAGAAGAGTGAGAAGAAAGAAGTGAAATTGGCGAAGAGGAAAGAGTTGGAATGGTGATTGTTCTACTACATATACTAATATACATATACATATACATATACATATCCTATGTGCTTGTTTCTAGTCCTCACCTCTGGCTTTTTGGGTCATCCTGATTCGGCGAGTCTCCTACATCTGACAGAAATACGATAATAGATGATAGCAGGCAAAGCATAGAGTAGTACTTGTGTTTGGCTGATCATCAGGTCTATCGAAATTTTAACTTAAACTTCAGTCTCACGCTTAGCTTCTTCTTTCCACTCCTCCCTCCAACGAGACAACGGGGGTCGGCTCTCCAGTATATCCCCAGTGGTCCACAAAATCCGCTTTCGATCAATCTCCTCTGAAACCTCATTATCCGGACACAAAATATAAAACTTTTTCTCCGCCATTTTCTGCATCATGAAATCAACCACCTGCTCAGAAGTCCACGCACCCGCCGGCTTCTCCTTGAAGTGTCCAGCGCTGAAACCAGTATAAGTCCATCCAGGAATCAACAGGTGGACACTGACATTCGGAGCAGTTTTATCTACATCGAATGACAAATGCTCGGCAATAGACCGTACAGCAGCTTTGGAGGCATTGTATGCAGGGTTACTGGGAGGATTCGTGATTCCTTGCTTGGATCCAGTCATCACAATAGCCCGGGCGACATCCTTGTTCCGGGTAACCGTGTTGAGGAGGGCAACGATACCATTCGTATAGCCCATCGTGTTGATTGCAAAAGTCCTCTCGAAGTATGTCGGATCTTCCCACACCCCCTTATCCCCAGCCGGACTTATACCAGCGCCGGCATTGAGCATTAGGAAATCAATACCGTCTGGGAATTGGGATTCGACTTTAGGAACCAACTGTCGCCATGCGTCGAATGATGAGACGTCGAGAATATGACTTGTGGTGGTGTTGCGTCCGTCGGAAGGGAACTTCGCTGTTGCTTGCGAAAGGGCTGCGGCATTGTTGTCGACAAGCACCAGGTTCATTCCGTGTGAATAGCATCGTTGCGCTGTGGCAAGTCCGATACCTGAAGCAGCTCCCGTGATGAGTGCCGTAGCGCCTACGCGGAAAGTTGCGGGAAGACCCGATTCCATGGTGAAGACTATGAAGGTAGAGGAGTGGTCAACTGAGAAGTTTAGTCGACAATTTATGAAAAAGTTGAAAAAAGACTAGAAAAAGAGGAAGAAAGAAAGAATTAGAGTACACTACACGTTCAGGGTCGGGGATACATTCATGTAATCATCAGTGGAGTAGAATGACCGAAAAAGGTAAGAATATCCCGCATCGAATTAGTTTAATGCATGTCTTACGGCATTTTGAAGCCTTCACTTTGATACACTTCTAGAAAGATAATGAACTCAAGTACACATTGATCATGCCTGTTTACAGCAAATACATAACCCCCATAACCAACAAACTAAACACCCAACCCCAAGCACCCAGCCTCACCCCAAGACTTAAATAATATACAGCCCCAAGATAAGAACATGTAATAATACCATCTGAATTTCGATACCCATAGGAAGAATTCATCCACGCGCCCTCAGGACACCCGAAGCCAAGTGCAGACGGACAACTTTGGACAAGGGTATGACAGATATCCTGACAAGGCAGAATCTCCTTATAGGGACCCGGCATGATCAACTCATCGATGATAGCATTGCGGGAGGTATTCGACGCCACGGATTGCCGGTACGGACTATCATCCGGCAGAGAAGAACCATTGATGAAAGCCTGGCCTGCATTGCGGACGGCAAGGTAGTCGGCATTGCTACTGTAATCCGCGCAGCGGGGAATCGTTACCCCGCAGAGCCATTGTTTGTAGGCATCTGCGCAGTCGTCGCAGCTGACGGCGAGGGAGAACATGGATTCTTCGTTTGTTTTGCATTGGACTTGTTGGAGGGAATAGGTGAAGTTCTGGTAGAAGGCGGCGGCGTAGTCATCGTAGATTGTGCGGAGCTTGTCGACGCTTAGTTTAGGGTTTGAGGGGACTGCGTATGCGACTTCTGAGCAGAAGGTTAGGTTGAACAGTACGCCACAGTTGTTGTCTGGAGGATGGTTAGATCGGAATTGTTTTTGTAGGGTTGTTTCGGCCTGCTTACCTGTTTTGGTCGTGAAATTCATCGGTTGCCATACCTGGCCGCCGCCGCCGATGATGCCATTCCCGGACGCGGTCGAATTGCCCACCATCGCCAGAAGACCGCTGTACGATGAACTTTGATTCAGTCCAGTAATATAGAACTGTTCTTTGGGCTTATTACCAAGTCCACGATTGGTCATGCCAACCTCAGTTGAATTACTGATTCGGCCCACCTGTGAAAGCTCATCGAGGGCGCAGAACGATCTCTCCAAGCCCACCAGTGCTGTATCGTTGATGTTGTGGGCAAACATAGTATACGGAGGGACGATGTCCATCCACTGCTTGTAATTCGAGGAGTTCTTCTCGGACTGAGTCAGGTTGTTCGTCACCAGCAGCGCAGCGGAGACGTCCGCGTCGATGAAGAACAGATTTGGTTCATTGTCCACGATATTGTGGAAAAAGGCATCGATGGATGCTGCAATCTGGTACTTGTAGACTCCCGTGTAGTCGGTTGAATTAGGCGCTGCGACGCCGATGAAGACGTCGCTGTCCGTGTCTATGGTGATTCCCACGTATCCGCCAACGGCAGTGTGCATATCCTGCAGCGAGTCGTCTTTGCCCGGTCCTGGCTCTTGCAGTTTCTCCGAATTCGACACATACAGCTGCAACTGCGGGAATGCGCCTCGGGCGCTGGTTTTGTTGGTATATGGTTTCTGGCAGGTGGTGAGCGACAGGTAGACTGTCGTCGTCGCTCGTTTCGAAAAGTCCATGTCTCGTTTCCGTCGCTCATTGTTCGAGTTGTCGTCATCTACCTCCGTAGAATTTATGTATGAAGGAAGACCGGGACCTGGGGTGTCGTGTTTGCCGTTCACCACTGTTTTGGGCAGGTAGTACCAGTGGACATCGCCGATCTTGAACGAGTCCCGCGTGTCGAACTGATTGTTAGCTAATGCTTTCGGGGCATTAGAGTCTCTGCGCACGAGGTCCAGCCCATTTGACTCGCCATCTTCGTCGACGGTGTCACGAAGTTCCAGCCCATTGAACGAGTCCAGCGCAAGTGGGAGTCCTGCCCCGTCACTCATAACCGCCCCTCGGAGGTTCAAGGCGTTCTCTGTACCCGGGCCATGGAGAGCATCGGCATAGGCTACCGAGTCGCAGGCGAGTACGAAAACGAGAAAGATTGCGCTAATCGTTGCAGTAAGGTAGCACTGCAGCGCGTTGTATTGGTGTCGCATGGAAAGACGGAGGGGAGGGTGTCGCTGAACAGCCAATGGGCAGAATTTAAATTGGCCAGTAAGATATCACGGGCAAGCGGTGGTATACACCAGCTGTAAACCTCTTCCTGGAGGCAAAATCAGCGGCTGCATGTAGTCGACGTGAGCGTTGTTTGGATGAGGCTGACTATCGGGGAAAATGCCAGCCTTATCAACTTGGCTGCCTTGCAGCCTTATTTAGAACACACGTAGGACCGCGCGTAACTAGTTACCTATTTAAGTACATGTACCTACTTCGTAAATATCCATGGATATCATATATTCTCTGCCAGATGGGGCATTCCTATCTTAGCTACTACCCCTTGTATGAAGGCGCTTAGAGTCAGGGTCTTTGAGTAGATTGAGTTGAGAATACTATCCAATCAGGACGCAACTCCTACAGGGACAGGCAACCGAGAGTGCAAATGAACAAACATTGGCCAGACAGCTCAGACCCCTGCAGGAGCACTATCGGTGGCTTCTTAGGGTACCGGGATGAGGTTGAATGATTCTAACGTGTATAGCTTGGATTTCAGTCCACACGTAATTTTAACAAGTTTATACCCAGGTCATTTGGAAAAGAATATGAAAATCACATTCCATCGAATAGATATCGTAGTTTGAAACCAACGAAAAAACAAGGGGCAAAACAGACTATCACAGAGAAGGAAGATGCAAGATGCAAAACAACAGGGAAAAAAGTCAAGGAAAGATAGCAAGTCAACATAACTAACGATAAAAAACAAAATCAAACCAGCCTCTGCCAGCGGGCTATGCCAATACTCACAACAACAATACCTGCTATCACTCCAAGAATGCCGAACCACCATGCCAATCCCTCTGTGTGCGCGCCGGGAACTTCTACGTTCATACCGAACAAACCACAGATCAAGTTCATGGGGACCAGAATCGTAGCAATCAAAGTGACCTTGCTGAGGACCTTGTTGACGTGATTTCCCAGCACCAAGTTGGTAACATTCAGCTGAGCCAAGTAATTGGTATGAGACCGGCTGAGCATTTTTTCGAAATGCGCCAAGTTCGACATCATGGTCACGACGTGATCCTGGATATCACCCAGGTAAAGACCAATATCACCACGGGGAGTAACCGAGTATTGCTCGTTACAGCGCTTGGAGAATCCACGGATGACATCGGCCTTGCCGCCTAGCAGGCGCATCAAACTCATGACTTTCTTGCGCAGGCCTCCAATGCGAGGAAGGAAGGATTCGAAATCGTCGACTCGGGCGATGAATACATGGTCTTCGATCGCCTCGGACTCCAATTCCACATCTCGAATCACGGGGCCGAAGCTATCCACGATGTCGTCGATCATCGCGTAACAGATCCAGTCACTGCTGAGAGATACGTAGTCTCGCAGCTTTCCAATACGATTCCGAACATTGGATGCGTGAGGGTTTTCCTCAAAGGAGAAAGTGAGGACACCGTCTCGGAAGACAACCATGTAGAAATTGACAGGCTCCAGGAACTCCTCGCTGGTTTTGTCCATTTGGAAGAAGGTCCGGAAACAGACAAAGTAGTACTGTTTGAATAATTCCACCTTCTCGCGGGCTTCCTGGGTTTGAATATCCTCCGTTGTCAGCGGGTGAATAGAGAAAGCCCGGGAGATAGCTCCCAATTCTTCATCGGTGGGGTTGACCACATCCAACCACCACACACCTCCCTCCGGTCCAAGTTCGAAAAGATCTCGGAAGGTTTCGCCAGGGAGCACCAGATCTCCCAAATCGGCAGCATGAACTGTGGTTTGAGACTCGGACGAAAAGAACCCAAAGCGAGAGCGCTGGGTTGTATTCTGGAGAGGTTTAACCCGCTCCTTTTCATTTGTAACCTCAGCCTCCTTCTTTTCATCTTGACTCAGTGTATCGGACGAGCTGGTCTTCTTGATTGCACCAATCTCAGGGCTCTCCGCGCTAGGACGGAGGTCGTAAAAGATGCGGGGCCTCTTGCTCTGCGAGCTCATGCTGTGCTTGCGGTGATCGCCATCGCCGACTTTGGTGCTCGGGTTCAGAGCCACAAACTCCTCCAGTTCCTCGTAATCAATGACGGGAATACGGCCCGGCTCGTCGAAGCAAGCCTCCTCTGCCGTGTCGAATGGCACATCACCCAATTGGGGGCGAATGACACTGGCGTTGCTGAAAGTCGGGCGCCGGTTGTGGGTGCCACCTGAAACGGTGCGTTGCAGAATAGCTTCTAGGTCGGGAGGCGCATGGCTGTCCAGGGTATTGGCGCGCTCACGGCGACGCGGGTCGGCAAAAGCCTCAACTGAATTGGGAGGAGAGGATGATCGAGCGGACACGGACGAGGCGCAGGAAGCGTTGGCGAGATCCGGGTTCACAATGCTGATGCGACGAGGGGTCTGGTAAGTGCCGTTATGATCGACTGAGAATCGTCGACCGAGTCCGTTCAACTCATTCAGCGAACGGTCGTCTTCCGCGGCATTTTCGAAGTCTCGGGGAATTGGACCGTCCCTTCGGGCATCTTGCGGACTGAGTAAGTCTGGGCGATCGATTATTTCAGGACCTTGAGTGGTATCGCGCGGGCTATAAGAACGCTCGACCGGGGCCTCAATTCGTGGAGGCGTCTGCATCTGGAGGCGGTGATCATCCAGTTCGGGTACCGGGGTACTGTACCTGGTCAGGTACATGTACCGCTCGGATCTGGGAGACTCAGACATAGTGAGCTCTGCGTATAAGAAGATTCGATGAAAGCGATTAGGGCGCCAGATTGGCAGATTTTTGTGGGAAGTTTAGTTTAGTTAGGAGTTGCTCTTTGATAGCACGACGGCCGGAGCAGACGCAAGCCGGTAAGAGGTTCGTTCAAGGGTGACGGCCCTCCATCCATAAGCCAGACCCTTCACGAGGGTCTGGCGTTACCGACTAACGTCTGACGGCCACAATAAGGTCTTTCTTGAAACCCAGTTAGGGGGGTCTGGTGTCGCCCCCGCCGAAGACCCGGAACTTAGGGCCTGCAAGAGGGTGGAGGAGAGAGGCCTCGGAGTAGCGAAGTCCCGCCAACTTGAAGAAGTGGGAGGATGAGGAGCTTGGTGACTCCAGAATTGCTGTTAGACGGGATGCGCGAAATGGTTCGCAGGAAGTTCAACGGTTAACGATTTCGAATTCTTGAGTTTCACAAGAGATCGGATGAAGATTCTAGTTTTAGAATCGTAAAATGGTGTGAGGTGAATTTAGTGGGAAAAGCGGGAAGGGTGGGAGAAAAGGGCATAAAAAGAAGTGGCAAAGACCAAATGGAGTCGATGATGCCGAGGTGGTTCCGAAAGCCCACAGAGTCACCACGGGATATCAAAAGAGTATGGATAGTCAATATAAAGCACCTCAGGGGCTGCAATTATAGGGGAACAATAAGAACAACAGTGGGGGGACTAGAACTAATATGCCCGAGAGAAAAAGGGAGAGACTGAAAATTTTTGCAAGCGGGCCCTGTTTCAGCAGATAAAGGACTAAAAAGGGTCTATACGAGTAAGAACGAGTGAGGCAATTAGAATAACCTATTATTATTGACTAGACTAAATAATTTACCTGCTCTGATACAAAATATATTCTTTTGGGGCATTTTTAGGTCGAATGTCTTTACAACATAGTTTTGACTTCTTACATCCCCTATAGCCATATACTACGATCCATGCACAGATTAGCCTCTGGATATTTTGTCGCCCTTGGCAGTTGGGTATTTTCAGGGTTAGCTGACACAATAAGATTAGTCTAGAGCAACCTATCTCGGTAAAAATACCCCTTTTTCTTCTTACGATTCTTATGTTTCGCCTTTTTCTATGTGGAACATGAAGTCAACCCACCGATATAATAATTTGATGCAATCGGATCTAACATCCATGTTCAATGTTGAAAGACAAATCAAATCCAAAAGAATAGAAATCCAAGATTAAAAGAGAAAAGTCCCCACTTAACGTTTCCGACGTCGGCCAATTTTTTTGGTGCGCCAAGAGTTTCCGAGTCACATACCAGACTATCAGACGATCTTGTACATTTTGTACATTTTGTGTGTTTGGACCCTTGTAACACACTTGATATAGTCATCGATCTCATGTCTTCCTTCGTGATCAAGATCCCTTGCTCCTCTGCCAACATTGGCCCCGGATTCGATGTGATCGGTCTGGCACTGTCCCTCCACTTGGATCTCCACGTCACCGTCGAGGCCAAATCCTCATCCCAGCTTCCCTTCAACTGCGCCATCACCTATGAGGACAAAAGCAAGAGTGCCGAGCAGATCAGTCTCGACCCAGAAGTCAATCTGATCACCCGTGTAGCCCTGTATGTCCTCAGATGTCATGACCAACGGGCCTTCCCCATCGAGACCAAGGTGCATATCGTCAACCCTATCCCGTTAGGCCGGGGTCTGGGCTCCTCTGGTACTGCCGTCGTCGCCGGTGTCATGCTGGGCAATGCGGTGGGTAAGCTGGGTCTGAGCAAGGAACGGTTACTCGATTATTGTTTGATGATTGGTAGGTTGGAGTGATTTATGTGCCCCTCATCTGAGTCTCCCCGGGGGGGAAAAAAATTATATATGAATCGTATGTCGTACATTTTACTAACGTACACGAACAGAGCGGCACCCGGATAACGTGGCTGCTTCCCTCTTCGGTGGGTTCGTGGGCACCTATCTGAACGAGCTTAAGCCCGAGGATGTGGCACGCAAAGAGATCCCCCTCAGTGAAGTCCTGCCTGCCCCGGCAGGTGGTGTGGACACCGGCATCAGACCCCCCGAACCACCCATGGCCATTGGTCATTACAGGAAGTTCAACTGGGCTCCTGAGATCAAGGCTATTGCCATTATCCCTAACTTTGTGGTGCCTACTGCCAACGCCCGTAATGTACTCCCGCAGACCTACTCGCGAGCGGACGTGGTATGTGAATGTTCAAAATTGATCAACTATCTGATTCCAGACTAATCTCCGACTAGGTCTTTAATCTCCAGCGCGCTGCACTCCTCCCCGCGGCCTTGGGAAGCTCCCCGCCGGATCCTGATATGATCTTCCTCGCCATGCAGGATAAGGTGCACCAACCGTATCGCAAGACGCTGATCCCAGGCTTGACCGAGATTCTCCAATTCATGACCCCTGCCACCCAACCCGGTCTGCTAGGAATCTGTTTGTCCGGTGCAGGACCTACCATCCTGGCACTGGCCACTGATCGCTTCACCGAGATTGCTGACCGCATTATCGCACAGTTCGCTTCCAATGATATCTCGTGCCAATGGAAGCTGCTGGAGCCTGCTCATGATGGCGCAACTGTCACCTATAACTAAAAGCCGGTGCCTTTTTCTGTTGTCATAACACGATCGTTGTCTGCGAGTCAGCGGCTCGCCGTGCTTGACATACAAGCACGCAGCATTGGAGCATTGGAACCTGAGGGGCACTCGTATCTGGTTGGATATGGGAAGATTTCTTCCCTAACCGCCACATGGGTCATGCAAGAGCTCGTTTTCACCGCTCCTTGCTTCTCGCATTGCAGGGTGCATGTGAGCCTTCCGATAGGGCAAGTTGGGTTCGGATTACATTTGGATTTGCAGGGTCTTGTACACTGGTACACGATCGTAGACCGACTCTCTCGAGGTCGGTTTCCCATCAGCAGTGCTCCAACTTGGGTGGACTGTCTGTTTTGGTTTTAGAGATAGATGGCAGATGACATTGAATGAAATCATGATCAACCACGTAACGAGTCAATTTCTCAAGGAACGGTCCTATTTGGAACCAAAATTATCTTGCAAGGTTATACTCCGTGCTTCGGACATACTTTTGACGAAGTGCTGTGTACAATGTAGAGAGTAAGGCGGTCCGACGTGGCAGAAGGCAAATGACACCATTGCGATAAGCCGCCCGGCATCGATCAAGGGACCCTCGAACCTGGCCTGTTGACCTCAAATCTGATTAAATTGCTTCAATCATGGATGAAATACTCGCCCCTATTCAGGATGCCATTGAAGGCCAAATTGTACGCCCAGCTGCCTTGTCTTCATTCATTGTTATTACTCCGCGCGGGCGGTTCAAGCTAACAATATCTCGATAACAGGACTTCCACGGCCAACGTCTAGCAGAGCTACTGTCGACCATCTTACTGGTTATTTCAGGGGTATGTTGCACGAATATTGGGTCTTGCATTACCAGAGCTAACAATTATCTGCTCTAGGTCACCAGTTTCGTTGTCGGATACATATACAAGGACATCCACCTTACGTTGTGGACCGGTTTGGCGGGCACACTGTTTACAGCTTTCGTCGTTGTCCCACCTTGGCCGGTATACAACCGCAACCCAGAGAAGTGGTTGGGCTCACCAAGTGCGAGAGCAACTCCGGGTATAACTGTGGACGGGGTGAAGGTGCAATAAGCTATTGTTGGAAAAACTGTCAAGCGTAATAATCATTGGAAACATTTGGCCAGCGCTCTCGTCTGCTACGGAATATGAGAATGGGAAACTATGGAGCTAGCTCGAGATGTCACATCGTTCGAATGCCCAAACCCTAGGCCGTCGTAAAGATCCTGGATCGTCTTCGGAAAGAAAAAAAAAAACAAGTTATAGCCATTTGAGTATGCGGAATCAGCCAGAAATCGTGAATTTGTATCGTGTAATGTCTTCGAACCCCCTGATGGCCCCATCTTTACCGGCCGTACTTCTGGAACTCCCAGTCTCGGTTATCTAGCGGGCAGACTTGACGGGTCTTCAGCCATCTCGATATGCAGTGGAAGTGGAATGCATGCTATAGGAAGGGAGTGATTAGCCGATGATCATACGGTCAGATGGAGGGATGCGGGGGTCCTCACATTGCAGATACCCCAGGCAACGGTGCACTCTTCCGTTGTTGATGATCCTTGGTTGGCCTGGCATTCGATGCCTGTTTTGTCGGTCGGTTAGCTTGTAAGATAAGAGAGCTTTGGGAGGGGGTTCAGCGTACACAAGTCCATAATGTGGTTTCGGCAAATGGCACAGTTGTCGACGACGATATCCCAAGCCCACAGGGCAACAGCATTCCACTTAAGAATAACCAGTCAGTATCACGAGTCGCTGCAAACAGTAGGTCTTTGTGTACCTTCTTGACCTCGAACTTCTTCTTGTCGGCATTATCGGAGCCCTTGGCAACGGCCTTGCCCTTGGACGAGCCAGTAGCGGCTTCCTTCATCTCCACGTCTGCCATGTTGAGGTTCTTGTCGGAATATGGATGGTCTCGGTTTGCAATTCTTGGCGCGAGACAACAGAAGCTAGCTGTGGTGGGGGGATCAGAACTGTGACTGACGTAAGTGAGGCTCCGATGTCTAGGTTGGGGCGGTGATGGAGGGCGGTGATTGTAGTGTATGAGAGTCAGATAGAACGAACGAGGTACCTTCTTTTGGGGAGTTAAAACAAGAGATCTCTCCAAAGGTACTCAATGCACAATGAAACAATGCGACCCTGTCCAGCAGTTGATAGTTCTGTTTGACTTGTGTTTGTTCTTGATATTGCGAAGCAGGTGGCGTTCTTAGTCATCGAGAGGAGATCGGGGTCCCCTCCCCGTTTGTCTGCATTCGATGGTCTTTCTCTTCAACAAACAACAATGATTCAATCTTCCTTTTCTTCTCTTCTTTTTTCCCTCTTTAGAGATGCCTCCAGTTAATCTTCGTCTTTAACTTTTATTACGCTCTTCGTTTAATAGACAAGATCTTTTAATAGACTGTCTATGTTTGGCTTGGAGCGACATCTGATTGACTCAACTTGCGACGCTTTCACTCCCTCCGTTTGATACACGTCACTTTCTCTGCTTCCCCGGCGTTGCCATATCTAATATTGTCGACACCTGCTGAGCAGTGATCTGACTCATTTTGCTGCAATCTCCGCATCTTCTGCCTTTTACTGCTTCGTCATAGCGTTGCCTTTTCTCTTTACCTCTCTCCACAGGCTGCCTATTTTTCAAGCCAACCGTCGACATGTCGACTCAATCTCCTCATCCCCCCACCCCTAAGGGTTCGCGCAACAGCCGCCGCCCCCAGAAGAAGAACACGACGCCTCACGCCCAGAAACCGGCGCTCCTCTCTACTCCTCCATCATCCCCGCCGCATAACATGAGCCCCGGTGTCATCCAGATGGATCCCTCAACCAACTTCAACTCTTCAAAGAAGAAACCTATGCGTTCAGGGAAGAAGCCCAGAGATAACAAGGCTTCACCTGCCCCGCACTCTGGATACCATAGCAACGGCTACAATAGCGGTCCCCGGCACACACCAACTCACCCCACTGTCACCTCTCCTCAGACAAAGCCGAGCGCAGCCTATGCGGGACCGACGTTCCATGCGTCGCCTGCACCATCAGCTTTACCCATTCCTAGTTTCTTCTCAAAGTCGGCTCCTGATGCCAATTTGGTCCCACCCATCGAGACCGATAGTGATGATGCAGAAGTGGACCCCGAACCAGAGGTGACTCCGTCCAAACCTCGCAATCGCAACAATCAATCCAAGGGTGAAGAGCAGAAGCCTTCCCCTCTTGATTTCCTTTTCAAGGCTGCTGTGCAAGCCAGAGACCAGAAATCCACAAGCAGCCCTGAGGTGAACAAGGTCCTTCAGTCTCCCCAGACCGAACCCCGGGCTGTGCGCCCCAATCCTGATGGCATGTTTGCATTTGAAATGGGAAACTCTGATTACAACCGTAACTCTCACATTGGCCCTTCTTTCGCTCCTTCTTACCAGGACCGTATGAATGCGCTGCGACCCTCGAGTACCCCTCAGTCGTCTGACATGTCTGAGGAGGAGCGACGGATCAAGACTGAGGAGTTGAAGCACCTGTTACTCAATCCACCTCCACAGAAGCCGCCTTCCTCGGCTTATGCCTCTCCCGACTACGCTGGATCCTTTGCGCCCCGTCCTTCCAATGTGCCCCCCTATGCGACTCCTATGCGAACCTCGTCTGGCCCTCAGTTGACCATGTCGCATGGCTCATTCTCTCCCCACCAGCTGCAGCAGCAGATTCCTCAGAACAGCGCACATCCCCACTACCAATACCCGACCCATTCTCACTCACCTCTGCGCCGTGAGGTTGACCTCGTGCCGCCCCCTTCGATGCCTCCGTATCGTGGCCCGGCCTCGAACAGCACCTCGAACGGAGGTTCCCCGGCGCCCTATGGCAATCCGTACATGGCAACCTCCCAGCATCAGCGGTCTGGCTATACTTCTCCTCAACAAAGCCATGCGTCGGCTTCATTCCGAATGCCACTCAACTCACCATCTCCTTCCCGAGTGGTGGACACCAGACAAATTGAGAATGACATCCGTCGAGTGCTGAAGCTTGATACCTCGGGACCCCCGGTTACCCAGAGCTTCGCATAGTTATGCGTGGTTCCATTTCACGTTGTCAGATTATGATTTTTTTTCTTCTACATTCTTGACCCTCCTCTTTCGTTGAATGAATGGCCTGTTTCTTTTGTTTTCCTCTCACTTTTGATTTTCTTATCTTTTGAATTCAGTTTGATTTTACTATGTTTCTTCTTGCATCATGTTCATACGGGCATCCTCGACTGGTCTCGGGTCCCTCGGTTGGTTTATTCTAGTCTTCCTTTCCCGCGACAGGGTGCTCATTGTTTCTTTCCATACGTCTCTTGCGGAAATGTTCACCATGATGATAATGCACGGCACTGGCTGCTTGGTAAATTGATGAGGTGGTAATTTTATACCTTGTCTCCATCGTTTGGCGTCGTGGTTTTTCCCAAATGTGGTGGCGCGCCTGGTTTTGGCTTGGGGCATGGAGGGATGCTAACAAATGCATGATTTTTGCTGTTTTTTGTCTTTGTATTTGTTTTTCTCTGCGTTGTTTATCTTTGTTGTTTTGGGCCTTTCCGCTATTTTCAACTCTCCTGTTCCTTTGTTTGGTCGAAGCAGCGGTTAGCCTTGATCGGCCTTACAAGACTGACCTAGCGCTGATCTAACACTTCGTCTCTTGTGTATCCTCCTCACTCGTTTTAAGAGGATACTTGTCTAAATATCTGGCTAGTCCACCGGTGTGCTTTTGTGCCCGCCACTCGATTCAATAATCATCACTGGTCAGATTTTGGTTCCGATTATGGTGCGTAACTAGTAGCGGTACATAGTAAACTAGTTGGTTATATGCAAGACAATCTCCCAGTACTCTATGCATGTAACGGTTCACTGGTGCGTCCTACCTAACAAACGTCCTAACACAGAATATAGAAATTAGTATCTTTTGTGTGACTTCCCCATACAAAAGATACCTAGACGCATCATAGGCATAAGCTTTCGTCCTCGAGATAGGAAAGATATCTTAGTGGACATTCAGCAAAGCGTCATAAACGGGTTTAGATATCAACAAATGTAAACTGATCAAGAGTCAACACAGGACTTGATGAGCTTGTTTCCGTGCCCATGAACTAGTTGATTTGCATTTCTGTCTGCGATTGTAATTTGTTTTGGTGCTATGCGTCCCATTTCTCCATGACATTTGAATAGGAACCAAGACTGGTGAAGGCGGCTGATTCGAAACCCGGGACATTACGAAATCCCTATCGTGCCAGATCAGATAATATACCATCACACCACGAATGGAATAATTGCCAATATGGGCAACACTTCAGCGCAAAGAGCAAGAACGCAGGAATCCAAAATGTTGAAAGTAGCCTTGACAGTAGGCACAGCTTGCTTATCGCTTAACCAACTGCAAAAAAAAAAAAAAAAAAAAAGACCAAAGACAGAAAGCAAAGCGCTTGTTCATACGCAGTGTTGGGCATTGTCGGGCGTCGGGTTATAGTTCTTGGGAGTGATGACTCCACCTACATACCAGATAACCTCTGCCACTTCTTGGCGTTCCCTTTCCGTTCTAGTGCTCAGACCTTGCCGCTTTTTGCTCACTGAGTAGATCTGAGCACGACCCTGAGCGCCCTGATCCGCTCACTGAGCCAGAGCTGAGCCAATCGGTTTCTCGGCCTTTCGTGCAAAACCGGAGTCTTTATTTACGTAAGCCCACGTGACAGGACCAAGTGTACTTTCTTTAGAGAGCAGCTAGGAGAACACGACCATAGATCGTTTTTAATCTACATGTCCCTTGCTCCTCTGCTCGTCTTCTCAATAGTATACGGTCTCTTTGCAGGTTCATATACCAGTACCTGGCCTGGTATTATGCGTGAGGTGGCCCACAACAATCCCTCGACCGAATCAAGTATGATCTTCGCCTGTCTTGCGGCCGGAAGAGGCGTCAAAAATTTAGTTTCCGGGCCCCTCAGTGAGGGTCTTATTAAGGGTTTACCGTGGGAGGGGAGCGCTGGGTATGGATATGGTAGTGGATATGGATCCTTGATTGCTTTCACGGGCGTTACAGGGGTTGTGGGTGGTGGAAGTTATATTGCAAGGCGTATGAAGTGGCTATAAACTCTGCCAACCTGCGCTTGAGGCCTACAAACCTGGTGGATTATCTGACAGTCGCTAATATACGAGCGCCTTTAGCTTTCAGTGCGATTATAAATCGCGTCGCCAAAAATATATATGACCAAGAAGTAATTCAAGGGACAAATACATGAGCTTGATGACTGGAATAAGAAGTATCCACGAACTTGCCCTGGGGTCTCTGCTGAAATGTGTCATTTTCAGCCAATTAATCACAAAGATGGAGCAAGACAGGACACCAATTATTTTGGAATGTCAACATATGTGGTGTGTATCAAATTCTCCGTCACTGAATCCTTTCTACGGCCAGCTCAACTGCAGTTCCTGGTACTCCCCGCAAGACTTCTTCCACCGTAGCCGAGTGCAAGTCGCCCTGCAAAGCGTGAATCTTCAACATGATTGCGTTCAAATCTCCAACAAGGAGCCGCAGCTTTTCCTCTCCAACAATGCTGCTGGCAAACATGAGACGCACATCCAACGCCTCTAGTGCCCTCTCTCGAAGTACCAATGATATATCAATAGACAGTGCAATACCGTCGTTATTCACCACCGAGAGCTCCTGCCTGAGGAGTCCCATCTTAGCCGTAGGCTGCTCTGTGTATGGATCATATGGGTGAACAACGACCTGAGGTGCGGCGTGACAAGCATCATGCGCATCAGAATGCAAACGCACAACCTGTTCAAAGTCCACGTGCTCGAAGGCTGTAGGTTGTCGGGCCTGAGATTGGACATGTAAAAGATAGTCGTGGAGGTTGCTCTGTTTTTTGTGATTGATACGCAGTGGAACCCTTGTGACTGTGGGACCGACCAGCTCCTCAGTAAGTGGAAGGGAACGACCGATAGAGATCAGGCCGAGGATGGTATCTGGCACTTGAAGCTGCTTATGAAGTGCCAGCCCGAGCGCGGCATAGACCATGACTGCAGGTGTGGTCGAGCTACCTGTCACCATTGGGTCTGGGAGTGCGATGCGATGGCGGATGGTACTGTCAGCATTGTAGCCCTCATATGATGGAGCCAAGGATGAAGTCTTCGTCCCGAGAAGGTATTTGCTCCAGAAATCAAGCGCATGGGCCTGATTCTGTTGTTGGACGGCTTTGACAAAGTAGTTGAATCCGATAATGGGGGTTTCTGACATGCTCGGAATGTTAACCTGATCTGCTAGGCGGAGATATTGTCGTTGCAACGATTCGCAGATTTTTGTTAACGACCAAGCATCGTATACGGCATGATGGAACTTCAGGACAAAGTACCGCCGCGAGTCGTCGGATACCATTGAAGCGTGGAGGAGCGGCTGCCCATCAGTAAATTGGCGATCGCGAGAAGCGATGAAAAATTCATCTAGAGACACCCCAGAGACGGGCTGGACTTCGTGTAACTCATCCAGAACCGCTTGCACATACTGGCCGTTGTGCGGGAGAATACGTGTGCGCAAGATACTGTGAGAGGCGACGACACCCTGCCATGCCTGTTTGAGGAGGAGCTCGTCAACCTCCGAAGTGAGCTCGAAAGTGTTGTGCATCCAGTATGCCTCAGGATGAGTGGCGGTCCTCTTTATCATTGAACGCTGAATGGGTGTGCATGGGTAGATGTCAACAACCTGCTCAGGCCGGACCCCACACACTGAGGCAACTCGGGAAATGAGCGTATCTAGCTCATCGAAATGATCCGTTGGGAGCAGGGAGAATGCTTCGATCTCGGAAACAGATTTTACAAGATCTGTGGGGGCCCTGCCTTCTATGGTACTCGCGAGTTTGCCCAGACGGGGATTGTCGTACACATCTTGTACAGATAGCAGAGTACCGGCAGCATGTGCAAGGGAGGCCAGTTTCATAGCCCCGATTGAATCGCCACCGCATTCAAAGAAGTCTGCCTCAATACCGAAGTCATCTGAATTGAGCATCAGCACAGAACTCCACAGAGAATGAAGAAGCTTCTGTACTCGGGTCTCCGGTGGCAATATGTCTCTATGCGATGAGAGGGAGAAGCGTGCCAACTCGGAAATTTCCAGGTTTCTGGCAATGGAGCCCAAGAGCTTTCGATCCATCTTGGCTGATGCGCTTAATGGCATGCTAGTCAAAGGTACAAAGAAGCTAGGGATCATGTGCTTGGACAGGCGCGCAGCGAGTTCCTCCCGGAGAGAACTGGTTCGTTTCTGGAAAGCCAGAAGTCCTTCGTCATTTGTCAAAACTGCAGGATTGTTCCGATCCTGTGGTTGATCCGCCGGGGTGCAGCTAATAAACGCGATGAGGCGTGAGCCAGTAAGCTCATCGGGAATCTTGACCATTTCCACGGCGACTTCGAGGTGGTTGTCACTAAGGGCTAGACGAATCATATTTTCCACATCACCCACTTCCACACGCTGGCCATGCACTTTCACTTGTCCATCCTTACGGCCCAGGAATTGCAAACGACCGTCAGGCAAGAGTCGAGCTAAGTCACCGAGTTTGTAGATGCGCTGGCGCTGACCCGATGGTAAACAAGGCAAACTCGCCGGGAATGCGGCCTCTGTCTTTTCCTGGTTTTTGTAATACCCGGCTGCCACATTGGGACCCTCCACAACAAGCTCGCCGATTGTGCCAACGGGCATCAGCCGGCTAGCGTCCTCCGGGTCCACGATCCATGTAGCACACCCAATTGACCATCCGACATCCGAGCCATCGTCAGTCACCGTGAAATGAGGATGCGCGTGGCACCATATGGAAGTCTCTGCGGGCCCGAAACTGTTGATCAGGTGCAGTCGTGGTGACCAAGTCTGGATGTTTGTCACTGTGGCGGTTTCGCCACCAAAGACAAGTGTCTTGAGTGTCGGTACTTGGTCAGGATGAAGCAGTGAGGCCACACTGGGTGTCAGGAACGCCCAGTCAACGCGCATTCGCTCCATGGCCCCCGCAAGGTCATTCATACGTTCGTTGTCAGAGGGAATACACACAGTCGACCCTCGGCTGAGCGACGTGAAGATCTCTCCCATGCTGACATCTGAGGTATACGCCGTGAACTGAAGGTTTCGGGAGCCTTTGCAATAGCACAGTACCTCCCCGTGACCTTTGATGCTGCTAGAGAAGGCTACATGGTCAATCATGATAGCCTTCGGTTTTCCTGTGCTGCCACTGGTAAAAAGCAGGAAGGCAATGTGCTGTGGAGTGATGGAGCTGACGCCGTTTTGACCCTCAAGGTGTTGAACAGAGGAACCAACACAGTAGTACCTTGGAGTAATCTTATAGGCCAGCGGCTCAAAAGTCTCACTGCACAGAATAAAATCGGCACCAATGTCCTCAACGAGCGATTTCAAATGATCCGCTGAATGTGCTGGATTTAAAGCGGCATTGGTTCCACCAATCTTCAAAATAGCTAGCATTGCGACCACAGTCCAGATACTCTTTTCAAATAACAGAGGCACCCGGATGCCAGAGCGGAGACCACATGATGTCCAGAGATATCCTGCAAGTCGATTGGAGAATTCATCAAGCTGCCGATATGTGAGTGAACCCTCCCAAGACACCAATGCCTCTGCGTCTGGCTGTTGGTTTGCCTGTGCGGTGAAGAGATCCTGAACCAGGGCCTCGGTTGGTTTAGGAATGGCTGCATTCCACGAAAGGATTTCGTCCCTCTCCCCTTGAGGAACCAAATCCAATTCATGAAGAAGTTGTGTTTGAGATGCATCGCAAAGTTGATGCACCACGTGGGCGAGTTGTTCCAAAAACCTTTCGGCTTGGAGTGGAGCAACAACACGGTCATCATGAGTCATGTGAAGATGAAGCTCATTCCCAGAAATGGTAGCCTCAAGCACCAGGGCGCTGCTGAGAAAACCATTGGCCAGTCCTGACACATCAACGGAGCGCAGAGCAAAGTCGTGATTCTTCCAATCCTCGGAAGGCTGGTCTACTTGGACGACTAAGAGGCTTTGAGTGTCGATAGTCGCCAAAGCACCACGGTTGTACTGCTTTATATTCTGGAGACCCTCTTGCTCATGGGTTAACATCTCAGCTCCTTCCGCCTGGACAGTATCCATAATTTTGTGGATTGTTGACTGACGTTCCAGGCGAACTAGAACAGGAACTGTAGCCATCGTGGGGCCTGCAACTGTTGCTGCTGAAGACCGACCAGAAGTACGCCCGTACACCGTGGATGGGAAAACAACATTCTCCGAATGGGAGTAAGCTCCGAGGAGAATTGCAAATGCAGTTCGCATTATGGTGTTAGGGGTGAAATTCCTCTGGTTACCAGGAGAGAAGTGTGTTGCCAGCTTCCTGACGGAGGTGGGCTTGGGCCTGAAGTCAGGAGAAGGAAGTTCTGGCCATGATGGCCGGTCAGCATCCCAGACATACCGTTGCCAGAAACGTTGGCTCTCCTCGTTGTTGCGGTCTGCCAAGTTGACGTTCACAAACACGCGATATGGGGTTGTCTCCAACGCAGGAAGGCCCAAATAGGAGCGACGGAGGGCAGTAAAGAGAAGAGCTAGCATCCAGCCATCGTAGATGGCATGGTGGGCAGTCATAACGAAGTATTGCTTCTTATCAGATGTGTCTGTGAAGGCAGCAAGCCTCAACATACGATCTCCAAGCTGCATATGATCTCGGCGGTCGAGCTTTAGGTATTCAGAGAGACGGCGAGCACGAAGCCATCGTGTCCGTCCCTTCACGACCACCTGCATCAATTGCGAAGTACCATTGCTTTGGTGCCATTGGAAAAAGCGCGACCGCAATATGGGCCATTCCTCCAGCAAGGATACCCAAGCAGACTCGAAGCGAGGACGATCAATGTCAGCGGGCAGCTCGAACACCATTTGTGCAACGTAGCTTCCTCGTGAGTCCTGAGATAAAGCGAGTAAGCCCTCTTGGAGTGGCGTGCAGGGATAGATATCTTCGATTTGATCTGCTTCAACTCCTAGTTGCACGGAAGCAGATCGAACTGCACCAGCAACCTTATCCCCATCTCCAAGTGCGGAGAAAGGTGCGATGTCCGGGAGTACATTCAATTCGTCCACGGCTGAGCTCTCGTCCAGAATAGCACATTGGGCCATGTCTTGCAGGATCGGATTTTGGAATACCTGCTCGACGCTGATGCGCACATTCTCCTTTCTGGCAAACGAGACCAACCTCATTGCAGACAGCGAGTCTCCGCCGACACGGAAAAAGCTGTTCTGTCGATCGACGTCGACGTGCCAGCCGAGGGCGCTCGACCATAGTCTAGCGAGAATTGTTTCCATGACTGTGCTAGGAACCTCTCGTGATTGCACGTCCACCATCAGCCGACTCAACTCCTCTGCTGAGACAGACGATGCGATGTTCTTTAGCACACGACGGTCTGTCTTTGCTGAGGCCGTCAAAGGCATCTGGCGAAGTGGAACAAATGCAGCGGGCACCATATGACGGGGTAAGATTTGAACTAGCGCACTCTCTAGGCCATGCAGAGTTTGGCAAATTTGGTCAGACTTGTCTGCCAACAGATTCAACACCCCTTCCTGGTCCTCAGGTAGTTCAGGCTCTTTGGGAGCAATGAAAGCGGCCAGGATAGGCGGGGAACCTACTGGCCGAGGATTGACAATATCTACCGCCACTAGCATATTGCCGTCGGAGAAGTGTTCGCGAATCTGGTGCTCAATCTCACCCAATTCAATACGTAATCCTCTGAGTTTGACTTGGTGATCACGGCGACCAAGGAACTGTACCATTCCATTTGGAAGGTAGCGTGCTAGGTCCCCGGATCGATAAAGTCTCATCGATCCCCGGTCTGGTGGCATCCATGCCGGATCATGAACAAAAGTAGCATTTGTCTTGACGGGGTCGTTTAGATAGCCTGCTGCAACATTCGGCCCTTCAACAAGCATCTCGCCGACAGCTCCGATGGGAAGCAATCGATGATGATCGGTAGGATCAGTTATCCAAGTTGCACAACCGACTCCGAAGCCAATGTTGCTACCAAAGTCATCAAGGGTGACTTTGCGCGGAATGCAGTGCGTCCAGATAGAACACTCAGCGGGACCAAAACTATTGATCAAATGTAGTGCTGGGGCCCAGGTCTGGAAGTTCTCTGGTGATGCCGTTTCACCCCCGAATACCATGGTGCGGAGACCTGGTACCTCACTGGGGACTAGCAAGGTTGCCACACTGGGTGTGAAAAAGGCCCAGTTCACATTAAGATCCCTGATTGCACCAGCAATGTTGTTCTTGCGGTCCCAATCGGAGGGTACGCAGACACAGGATCCGACTGCAAGAGAGGTAAATATCTCTCCAATACTGACATCTGACGTATAGGCGGTGAACTGGAAATTGCGAGACCCTGGCCCCGTGGAAAAGCGAAGAACTTCCGAGTGGCCTCGGATGCTGCTTGAGAATGCTTGGTGCGGGATTAGGATACCCTTCGGCATACCTGTAGATCCGGAAGTGAACAGAACGAATGCCGTACTTTGCGCCGAGACAGGTTCTTCATCACTCAGACGCCGCTGAAGTGGCTGCTTTGATAGGTTTGATAAAGTCTGTTCATCAAGCACAATGGCACGTTGGGCAACCTGGGCAGCCAGGATGTGGTTTTCTCGGCTACAGAGAATAGTGCACTTTCCCATGCCATTGATGAGACCTTGCAATCGGTCTTTGGGGTGAGCTGGATCTAGTGCAACGCTCGAGCCACCAGCCTTGAGGATGGCAAGCATCGCAATGATAGCAAGTCCGCACTTTTCAAATAGAAGAGGAACATAAGATCCTGGTCCCACACCCATAGAACGAAGGAATCTAGCGAGCCTCTCGGCAGCATTGTCAAGTTGCGAAAATGTCCATTCACCATCACGGGCGCAGACAGCTGGGGATAATGGTTGAGATTGCACCTGCGCTTCAAAGAGTTCGTGGACGCAGGATACTCGAGGTGCAGGGACGGCATTCCAGGATAAAATCTCCGCCAAATGGTCGTCGGGCACATGGTGGATGCCACTGATAGTGCGAGAATGGTCGAATGTGGAAATTTGACGTATAATGCTTTCATAGTGGGACATAAGACGCCGCACTTGGACTGCTTTCAAGACAAAGGGATCGTAGCTCATGCGAACACTCACCCCGTTGCCCAGCGGGGCCACCTCGACTGCTAGAGCAAAGTTATGAATGTGAGTAGAAGCGCCCGCAACGACTTTTCCTGCAACAGTCGACACAGCAGCTTTTCTAAATGTTCCGTAGAGCGGACTGGTGCCATTGTCATCTGGGGTGGTCTTCAAAACCAGAAGATTCTGGAATTCACATGCAGTAGCACATGAGTCATCAATCTCACGAATCATGGAGATGTCATACTGCGCATGATCGATAAGTTCTTCCGTCCTTTCTTCAAATATCCGGGTTAAGTCATTCATTCGCATATCGGGATGTTCAAATACGATGCGCTGAGGAACAACCGAGAAAGTCGGCCCCATCACCTTCCGTCTATCGCCATGCGCACTCTGTACCGCGATACCATATACTACGTCATTGGAATCATAGTATTGGCTGAGGGTAAGAGCCCAAGCCAGCTGCAGCAGCGTGTTGCTCGGGGCAGGACTTTCAATTCCAGACTCAATTGCAGATAAAGCAATGGTTGTGTGCATCGTATCTGTCGTGAGTGGGGCATGGGTAGCTGGAACTTTAGGGAATGAAGGCGCCTGACAGTTCCTCAACGCTTGAGCCCAAAAGATTTTGGATGGCTCTTTCAGGGACTGCAATGTGGCCTCAGCCCAAAGTGCGAATGGAATCGTTTCCAAATCATGAGTGTTTTCATCTGTTGTCTCTTGCAGAAAACTTAGCATAGGTTGTGTGATTGATGGTTCGAAGATGGAGTGGTGGGTAGTGAGGACGAGTTGCCGTATTCCACCTCCAGGCTGGTTTCGAATAAGAGCAAAGCGTGAAAGAGGCTGGCCGCTGCTGAAGTTAAATCCATGATCTGCCGACAAACATTCTTGTACATCCTCCCATTCACTCCATTGGATGGGTTCGTCCATAACTGCCTGCAACATGCGCAGTTCACGATCGTTCTTCGATGAGGTTACCCCCATGGGGCTATGGAAGAATCGAGTTCTCAATACAGGCATCTGACGGTAAAGGGCATTCCATGCATGGAGAATATCCGTGTCGTTCTGGTCTTCCGGGGGAGTGAAGACGACGTGTGATTTGTACGCTGTGGGATGCCGCAAAGAGGCCATCATCATCCTGTTCTGCGCTGGTGTGCATGGGTAAACATCTTGTACAATATCCTCAGATACGCCGCACTCCACGGCGGCATGCTTTCGAATTTCATGCGCAGGTGAGGAAATGAGCTGGAAAGGCTTCGGAACTTTTCTAGGTGGTGCTGAAGGCTCACTAGCCACCGATGAGCGGGGATCAATGGGTAGATGTTCTATCGCGCTTATTTTCTTGTCTGCGTGGATTGTGAACAGGCGGAGTACCTTTTTCAGTTGCGCGGCGACCTGAATTACCTTTTCATGTCGGATGATCAGACTGTCATACGACAAACGGAGTCGAAGCTTCGAACCTCCCCCCAGGACAAAAGGCTCCAGTACCAGGGCATAGTCGAGAGGTTCGACCTTATCTGGCTCCACGGGCGTCAATAAATTGCTGCCGCGCCCAGCATCGGTGACTTGAACGTTGACCAAGGTTCGGAAACTGCAGGCCCGAACACCGTCCTGGCCCAGTTGCTGGATGTTTGCCAGACCTGTTTGCTCAAAGGCATTGATGTTGACCGCCTGCATACTGATCTTCTGTAGAAACTCGGCGACAGTCGACTCGCGATTCAGACGCACCCGCATGGGCGAAGTTGCGATTGCAGGCCCGACAATATCGGCACATTGTGGAACAGCTGCATACCGGCCCCCGTTGGTGACGCCAAACACAACGTCCTCTGACTGCTCATAGCACCCCAATAGGAATGCCCAGGCGGCACGGATTCGATTGGCCATCGTGAAGCCAGAGTTTGTGCCAACGTATGGGAAGGAGATCTCATACTGAGAATCTGTGCGAAATACTGCTGGTGCATCTCTTGCACCAAATGGGAATAAAGATGCAGGACAGTTATCCAGCTGCTCAGTCCAGAAAGGCTTGCATTCGGGACTCTTTCGGATGTCTATGCTATGGGCGACAAATAATGCAAAGCTCGGGGGTGCCGGGAGTAATTCCTCCCCAGTTGCAAGATCGGCAATATGACGCTCTACGAGCGCCACACTTGACATATCGTATGTCGCATGGTGTGCATACCATAAAACATATGGCCGATCGCAATCTTCGCTGACGACCACAGAAAACTTTGTGAGAGGGCGACCCACCGTCATGGCAGGCTTGCGGTTTTCAATGTCAAGTTCTGAAATAGAACGCACTCGGATGGTATCGATGGTAGCCGGTAGTGACAGGACAGCCTGCATAAAGCTGTGTTCCTCCGAGGTCACCATTGCAGTTCGCAGTATATGCAGCTTTTGCACCACTCGCTGCAGTATACCTGTGAGCCATACTGGGTCCACGGGGTGGACGCTCTGAAAGAGCCACGCAGACATATATACACCTGGTACACTAATGGACCGAGCCATGAGGCCAGCCTGCAATGCGGTCGTCGGGTACATATCTTCAATTTCCTCCGGAGAAATACCGCACTGCTCTGCGGCCAACTGCCGAATCAAGGATACATCACTATCAATGAGGGCGAACGGGGCTAGGGCGCTCGAAGGTTCCTCCCATGCACCAGGCTCTCCAAAAGATATGAGAGATGCCATGTCAGAGAATGTGGGCGCTGCAAAGATCTGTCCGCGGGAGATCTGCATTCCTTGTGATGCGGCTGCTCTCACTATCTCCGCTGCCGCTAATGAATCACCACCCAGTTCAAAAAAGTGCGCATCTTGATCGATGTCCTCAACGTCGATATCCAAGATATCTGCCCAAATCTCTCGCAAGACACTCAATTGTTGCTCGTTCAGGCTTCCAGTATGTTCCCCATTACAATTATTTGGTTTTGGCTGGTCGATGACACTGGAATAGCCCATCCTGGCATCTTCAAAACCCGCCATATGTCCAGGTTGGTAAATATGGATTCGAATAATTTTTTGGGTCCTGATATTGTTAGCTAGATGATATGTTCCAAGCTTGGCAATACTTACAACAAGATGATTCGGAGACTTTACACATAAGCACCTGGACTTAGAGTGTTGATAATACCCTTTTGATAGCGCCAAATGATTTGCATTGCATGGTGGTGCCACTGCATAAACCCTTTGCCAAAGGGTGGACACACCTGGTGTGACCATTGTAATGATCTGCAAAGTTCACTCATGTTGAATTAATCCACGACCCAGTGTATAGCACAGTTCCTATCCTTGCTCCCAATTTTTAGAAAATACTATCTTCTCGAGTCCAAGTAGCAAATTTCAGTGCCGGGCAGATCAATGGAGTATACAATCAATCTCTACAGTAAATTTTTCCTTTTTGAAAAAAAAAAGAAAACATATATTTAATTGGAAAATGAATACCTGGCATTTCATTACAGTATTATTTACCCCTTTATAGGATGTCGACGAAAGGGGTGGATCTTAGGTCAAGGCAGGTGAAATAAATACCAAGGTATGTATTTCAAACTGGCATGCATTTTCTCATTAACTTGAACTGCGCTCCATTAATTATATCCCCTACACGCTGTACATCTAGTAAGGTGACTTGGTAGCCTTGGTTTGATATACATACGAAATCGCCAATATGGCAGACGCTCTACCCGACGACTCAAAATTGACTAAGACAAGAGTATTGGTGTTCTTTTCTCTTGCGACTCTCAGTTTGATGTCAGCTTTGGATGGAACGTCCATTTCCGTAGCATTGCCGGTAAGAACTCAGAGCGACCTCGGAAAGAAAACATATTGGTCTGACACAGAGGGTGCAGATCATTTCACATGAGCTCCATGGAAGCGCGATTGAGACATTCTGGACCGGGACCTCATTTCTACTAGCATCGACGGGTAGGAAGCTCCAACAAACAACCGGATTGTCCCTAGCTTTGATTAACACTTTGCTTGCTAGTGTTCCAACCCAATTTTGCCGCCTTTTCCAATATCTTCGGTCGTAAGGTACTTATTATGACCGCCCTGACATTCTTCTTCGTCGGCGCTATCATTGCTTGTCTCGCGAAAGATTTCACATCTCTGATTATCGGTCGTTCATTCCAAGGTGTTGGTGGTGGTGGAATCAATGCAATGACTGAAATTATAATCACCGACATCATTCCCCTACGTCTACGAGGACAATACTTTGGCATTCTCAGTGCTATGTGGGCTGTTGGGTCAGTCACTGGACCAATTCTTGGTGGAGGATTTGCTCAAAGTGTCAACTGGGTAAGTCTTGCTCTACTTCATGAGGTAAACGTTGGCAACAAGAACACTGATTGACTCCGACCAACTGCAGCGATGGATCTTCTACATCAACTTCCCTTTCATCGGTATCGGTGGTATACTGGTTCTCCTTTTCCTCAAATTGATTCGATTGCCTGGCTCGGTTCTAAAAAAACTTAGCGGGGTCGACTTTACGGGAACTGTCCTCTTTGTAGGGAGTATATCCTCCTTCCTAATTCCATTAACCTGGGGAGGAGTCCTCTACAGTTGGTCATCCTGGCACACGCTAGTTCCACTGATTGTTGGAATTGTTGGCTTGATAGCATTTGCTGTCTATGAAGCCAAGGGTACCGCAAACCCTATCATTCCAGTCACTGTTTTCCAAAACCGGAGCATTATTATATCTTATGTCACAGACATTCTACATGGTATGATACTTTGGTGTATTCTCTACTACTTGCCTCTGTACTATGAGGCGGTCAAAGGATACACTCCAATTATCTCCGGAGTTGCCCTCTTTCCTATAACTTTCACGACCGCCCCATCATCCGTTGTGGTGGGGTTCTTGATTACTCGCTTTGGCTCTTACAGGTGGGCAATCTGGTTGGGGTGGGCGACATCAACCCTTGGATTAGGCATAATGTGCTTGATGGATATCAATACCTCAGTCCCAGCTTGGGTATTCTTGAACCTTGTGGGTGGGTTGGGGCTGGGAATACTATTTCCAGCCTTGGCCTTTGCGGTGCAGGCCTCGGTGGATAGCGAGCATCTTGCAATCGCCGTCGCCCTTTTCAGTTTTCTCAAGTCGCTAGGGCAAGCAATAGGAGTGGCTATTGGTGGAGTTGTATTTCAGAATCAGATGCTGAAAAATTTGCAACAATACCCTGCGTTGGCACCAAGGGCGGTGGAGTACAGTCAGGATGCCTCTGGACTTGTGCAGGTGATCCGGGACATGTCAGATGGTCAGGATAAGTCTGATCTGAAAAAAGCATACGCTGATAGTTTGCGGATTGTTTGGGCAATATGTTGTGGGTTGTGTGGCCTGGCTATGTTGTTAAGCTTTGGGACAGAAAGCTACGATGTGGATCGGGCATTAGACACCACGCAGGGTCTGAGGACAGAGAAGGCTGATGATTCGGATGAGACAGATCAACCAAAGGAGATCGAAGAAAGGGGGAAATCAACTCTTATCTCGTAGATGCAATGCAAATGCATCGAAGATCATGCACGATGCAGTGGTGTGGTGGTGCTTTTATGTGCTAGTTAAAGTGGCACCACCATATGTGATTCCACCTAGCACAGTTTCAGCCTCCAGGGGCGACACCATACTGCTTTGCCTTGTCGTTGATCGTTGTTTTCTTAGGATATGATCAATAATACAAGTAAACTTAGTCATGTCATCGTGCCCGCGCTCTCCTTTTGTAAGTGCTGCAAGCCGTTGCATCAACTTCACACTTCAATCTTATCAACTTTGAACCTTCCACGCGTTGTCTACTGAGATGTCTAAGAGTAATATAGTACCTCCTACTGGAGGAGGAGAAACTCTCTGTCTTGGAAGCGAAACCCCCATTCTGGCTGTATGGGGGGGTGTCGGTTTCACGAGACTGCCATTAAAAGACTTACGAGATCTCTATGTGCTGCACAAAGATGACCTCGAAGAATTCCTCCAGCGCTGCAGTCAGACCATGCGCTCCTTTTCCTCTGATGAAGGCGAGCGGTCAACAGATAACGTGCAGCAAGACCTTATGGAGTGGATCACCGACTCATCGCGACGACTGCCACCCGGCCATGCTCTACCCGCCGAGGTCTCCGGCGTTGTAACTGCCATCTTGCAGATTTCTCGCTATGTGATAATGTGCAGGAGGTGTAGATTGACTCCGGGGGAAATGGCGCAGTCCTTTTCGGCGTTTTCGGGTCATTCAGTCGGCATCGTCGTGGCCGCTTGGATGGCGGTGGCTGACTCGTGGTCCTCGCTTTATGACTTGACCAATGTAGTCATGTCTGATATTTACTACGGCATACGTCAGGCGAGTACCATATGGGACCAGAGGGCCAGGGTCTCCCAGGCGATGGCGACCGAATGTGTGCGACGAGGCGAAGGTACACCCTCCTCAATGCTCTCCATCACGGGCCTCGAACGATCCAAGATCACCAAAGCAATAGATGAAATGAACATCATCTTACCTGAGGGTCGGACGGTGCATTTGGCACTCCTCAACGATGTCGATTCCTTTGTCGTAGCTGGAAGTCCAGAAGGCCTGGTAGCTCTGGCTAGCCGGCTAAGAACATCACAATCATCCGATGTTGACGAGGCACACACCCCGGTCAATGATCGCCAACCTCGATGTTCCCTCCAATTTGTTCCCTCGCATTTGCCCTTTCATTCGCCACTTCTTCAGAAAGCAGCGACCGAAATTCGAAAGAAGCCGAACCAACACCGACTTCGAAGGGATCAGATCCGCGTACCTGTGTGGGGATTGGATTCACTGCTTCAAGAAGACCCGAGCTTGGCGGATAACTTGGAGCATTGTCTCGTTGAAATGAGCCTGTCACAACCCGTTGACTGGCCCAAGACTTTGGAGCCCATGACTGGGCGGTGGCAGGTGCTAGACTTTGGACCTGGAGGTTCTAACGGCATCGGAATGGTGATCAACAAAATGAAACCGGGAACTCAGACTAAGATATATACGGTCTGTCCGGCTGAACGCTGGCGGACACGCACTCAGGACAGTCCCTCGGCCAACCTCATCTCAACTTTATCCATCGGTCCAACTTCGCGACAATATTCCAATGTCGAATTCGTGGCACGTGAAGTCTCTCGACAGGAACAGAGCAACGAGCGGGTAGCGTCCCGTTTTATGCATGCTATGGGCTTGCCCAATGTTCTGGTAGCTGGCATGACGCCCACAACCTGCGATCCAGGCCTCGTTGCAGCTATCATGAACGCTGGGTTTTATGCAGAATTGGCAACTGGAGGCTATCATGACGCACCGTCATTGGAAAATGCCGTTTGGGCGTTAGCAAAATCAATTCCGCCCGGTCGACTCATCACTGTGAATATTGTCTACGCCAATCCTCAAGGTCTCAGCTGGATGATCCCACTCCTTGCATCCCTTGTTCGGAAGGGCTGCCCGATTGGCGGGCTAGTCATTGGTGCAGGCGTTCCATCTGCAGAAATTGCCGCTGAATATATCAAAGTTCTGGAGCTGTCATACATAGGCTTTAAGCCAGCTTCTGCTTCTGCTATTTACCAGGTACTAGAGATTGCCAAATCTCATCCCACTCTTCCAATACTTCTACAGTGGACCGGAGGAAGGGCAGGGGGCCACCACTCCTTTGAAGATTTCCACCAGCCAATTCTTGAAACTTATCATGCCATCTGCGAGGTATCGAACGTGCTTCTGGTAGCTGGTAGTGGCTTTGGAGACGCCGACGGGTCGTGGCCATACATTTCTGGGGAATGGTCATCTCAGTTCGGCCGACAACCGATGCCCTTCGATGCAATTCTGCTCGGGACTTGCATCATGACAACCCTGGAAGCGAAAACCAGTCAAGATGCCAAGCAGGCTTTAGTCAACGCCCGTGGGGTAGCTGATGCAGAATGGCTATCTACTTTGAAGGGATGTACCGGGGGTGTCATTTCTGTCATATCGCACTTGGGAGAGCCGATGCATGTTCTTGCTACTCGTGGAATGCGGCTGTGGGCTGAGCTAGACAAGACCCTATTCACGCTCCCCAAGGACAAAATGATCACAGCCCTTCGTTCTCGTCGTGAATATCTCATCTCCCGATTGAACGACGACTACCAGAAGGTCTGGTTTGGATTTGACTATGTCTCAAACAAAGCTGTCGATCTCGCCGACATGACCTACTTCGATGTGCTCCGTCGGCTCCTTGAGTTGCTGCACCCCGATACAAGAGGGGACTGGACATTCCCATCATATCAAAAGATTTTCAATGCATTCCTCGAGCGGACCATGGAACGTTTTGGTGGTGTTCCTCTCGACAGCTCTAGTGTCCCACAAGAGAAACTTGACGCAGTGGCATCCGCTATACCACATCTCGCCTTTCATTTCCTGTCCTTAGAAGACACACACTACTTTGTGGATCTCTGTCAACAAAAAAGGCAGAAACCAGTTCCGTTCATCCCGGTTCTTGACTCGGAATTCCCTGTCTGGTTCAAGAAAGATCCACTTTGGCAGTCAGAAAACCTTGATGCGACTTATCACAGGGATGCCGGCCGTGTATGTATTCTCTGTGGCCCTGTAGCGGTCCAACATTGCAAAGAGGCCAATTTACCAGTCTCCACCTTGCTCCGCCAGATCCACCATGGTTATACAGCCAAGGGAACTCAGTTGACCCCACCAGCCGCATGGTTAGATGACAAGCATGACCTCTTGCACGCTCTCAAAGCACTCCATGTCAACCTTACAGATGATGTGATTCAACATCCCGACAGGAGCCTTGATTCTGTGAGCAGCGAGAGATGGCTACTCCTGCTGGGATCTCAATTAGGCGAATGGGGTAGGCGCCTCTTTGGAGCCCAGAAATTGGTATTTCATGGACAGTCATATGAGAACCCAGTCAGGCGCATTTTCTCTGCCCGTCCAGGTATTCTGGTGCGACTTCTGGAGAAGGCCAAATATGGGTATGGTGGGGCAGAAATATGTGACCGCGCTACCGGCCTGGTTGATGCGCGAGTGTCGATTAATGGAAGCACTATTACTGCGGCAATACTCGCCAGATGTTCGCTTGGTGGCCATCTCCGTGAATTATCTTTTCAATTTTTGTACGATCCATCGTGTTCGTATGCTCCTATTGTGGAGATTACGGAAGGCCGCACACAGCGAATACTTGACTTTTACCACAGTGTGCTTTTTGGTCCGACCATGATCCGCTCCAAGGAAGTAAAGCCTCATTTCATGCAGCACTCTTCTTTGACCGTGTCAAAAAGCCATGTACTGGCATGGATGCGAGCGGTCGACGGACAGGAACTAGACGCCGCGGATCCCCTAGGTCCCAACGGAGAGGTCCCCATTGAGTACGCTACAATCTTAACTCTAATGGATCAATGGCGCCATCTCTTTACCTGGGATTGGGATATCTCGAAGCTTTTACACCAGCGCACCATGGTTGAAATGAGAGATGGCCACCGCATGCTTGCTGTGGGTGATGAAGTCAGGGTTACCACCCAGATTCGCGCCTTGCATAATCGTGACTCCGGAATCGAGGTTGTCTTCGATGTTAGATACGAGCGAGAAGGCGCAAGGATCATGGATTGCATCCAGCAAATTATGATGCTCGGCCAACGAGCTGCTGAGTCCGACTGTTCTGACTCTGGTGAACCCACCACTTGGGTGCTGCCCCTACGGAGTGAATCGGACGTACAAGCAATACAGGCCAAGCCATGGTTCTCTTTGATTGATGGCAACGAGTCGCTGAATGTTGGTCAAACTCTCATATTCGAGATAAAGCGCGAGACTCGGTTGCAAGACGGCAGTTCCGTTGCCAGCACGACTGGAGATGTCTGGCTCCAGGAACCCAAACATCTCTGTGGCAAGGTCAAACTCATGTGCAAAGCTACCCATCCCGATGTTGTTGCAGACTTCATGAAACGGGAGGCTTCCCGCACGGGCGAACCACTTCGGCTCCCACTACAGACTGGCATGACATTTCAAATCACCCCTCCAGACAACAGTATTGAATATGCGGTAGCTGGCGGTGACTACAATCCAATCCACACTATTCCCACTTTTTCACGTTTCTCGGGCTTTGAAGTACCAGTCTACCATGGCAACCACACGATCGCCCTTGTCCTTCAACTAATCCGACGTGAGATTCCGGGTGCAAATGTGATGACACTTCGCAAATACGATGTAACTTTCTCGGCAGTGGTTTTCCCACGCGAGAAACTCACAGTGTTGGTAAAGCATGTCGCCATGGATGAAGGGCGGGTCATTCTCAGCATCTCTGCTCAGCGCGAAGGATCAGAGGAAACAGTTCTGGCTGCTGAAGTTGTGCTGGATCCACCCACAACAACACTCCTATTCACTGGCCAAGGTAGTCAGTTTCAAGGAATGGGTTTGGACATGATTGCCGAAAGTCGTGCATGTCGCCGTGTGTGGGCAGAAGCGGATGCGTACTTCGAACATAACTGGGGTTTGTTGTCCCTCTTTGCTGTATCGGCATTGCTTACTGACATCATGAAAACAGGATTTTCAATCACCCAAATCGTCAAGAACAACCCGAAACAAACGACTGTCAACTTTTGTGGAAAGCTGGGCATGCAAGTGCGCAAGAACTACCTAGATATTCAGCGGATGTTGAGCGGATCATCTACTCCGGAGCTCGAGCTTTTCAAGGGTCTCACCGTGAAGTCCCGATCATACACATTCTTCAAAGAGGATGGGCTCCTCAGCATGACACAATTTGCCCAACCGGCTATATTCGTGCTTGAGAAAGCCGCGTTTGAGTATTTGAAAGAGCAAGGCCGGGTGTCTCTCAATTCACACTTTGCCGGTCACTCCCTGGGCGAGTTTGCTGCGCTGGGCTCCATGACATCGATCATGTCGGCAACAGCGGCATTGAAAGCAGTATTCATTCGTGGTGCCCTGATGCAAGCAGCTACTCCTCGAGATGCGCTGGGACGCAGTGCCTTTGCTATGATGGCAGTGGACCCAACCCGTGTAGGAAAAGGTATGTTTGGATTACAATTCTCAGCCTTTCTGAAATCTGTCGCGTTGGGTATTCCATAACTAACCATATGATGCTGTAGAATGCTCCGAAGAACATATTCTGAGAATTATTGATAAGATAGTCAACAGAACCGGGCTCCCACTACAAATGGTCAACTTCAATATCAAAGGTCATCAGTACGTCTGTGCAGGCGACAAACGGTGCCTTGAGCTACTGCAAAGAGTTACAGACGAGTTGCACCATGACAAATCGAATCTTGACTGTTCCGAGATTTTAGTTGCCAAGTATGCCAGCAAGATAGCGGCCTCTGCCAATGGTGTCTCCTTGAGCCGCGGGACGGCAACAGTGCCGCTCAAAGGCATTGACGTGCCATTCCATTCAAGCCTCCTGGCACCTATGAGAGGCATATTCCGCACCATACTCGCTGACTGCGTAAATAAGAGTGAGGTGCAGCCGGAGGTACTGGTTGGGAAGTGGATTCCCAATGTGACAGGAAAGCCATTTGCACTCGATGATGCTTACGTCAAACTGGTTGGTGAGATGACTTCCTCTGTATGAGAGCACGGCTATTTGCATGGCGCTCTTATTTTGGTGAAATAATGTGTAAATTTGATACATGTCCTATCTATAGTCAGAATGAACGAGATAAGTGGTTAGCTTAAACTATATATAAGACGACGGGTATCTTCGGGAGTCTATTACGCTAGTGTGCTAGTACTATTCGGGATTTATGCATTTTATACAATTTAATAAACTAATATTGTACTACTTCTTTATAGAAGTTATAATGACTTTAGTGTAATTCTTGATAATCGGATTTTTGATAATATGACTATAATGCAATTTTGTTGGAGTTTCCTATCCCATGAAAAAGCCCACAACTATTGTAGCCGAGGATCTTGTTAGCATTTTTAACAAAGTTAATACCGAATTTTAAGATTAACTACTTGAGCCCTTTCGTAATATATATAATTGATTTCTTATTACTCTGTACTTTAATTCTTCCTACTTTATTCCTTCATTTGGAATATACGATAAGATACCTGTTTTTATTCTGAATTTAGGGAAATAAAGTCAATACCTAGTAAAAGTCACAAAAGATTTATATCTTTGAGAGAGCCAAGTCATTTTTTGTACTGAACAGGTGACAAAGATGGGGTATAGGCGGTCAACATACGGAATATACACAGCCCGGGTGATAGATCATTTTTTATGGAGTTGATCAACATTTGTATTTTTTATGTACTCCGTAATAACAAAGATCCAATATGCAGTAGTAAATGGTACACCTGAAAGTCACAAAAACTTAACGCCACTCTCCAAGGTGTAGATATATATAACGCGCGGCATTAAAAAAAAGGCTCGCAAATGACGCATGTGACACGTTAGCTATACAGACAGATTTCCGATAAGCCGCATGCATGTCGGGAAATCATAATTAGAACATAAACGAGTAGATGAATACCAAAATCGTGGCTACGGTGGCAACTGTATATTCAATCTCGAACCAAGCGGCCTGGCCACCGAACGCGATCTTTTTACTCTTCTTGGTCGGGTGCGCGACACCAGTCTTGGGGTCGCGGGCCAAAATTTACTATGGGCAAGATCGGACTGGCGCACTGGTTGGTAATGGACTGCCGATCAACAGTCATTGTGATACCAGTAGTCTAGAATATCTAAACCTGTTTCTTTTTGAAATTTCCTTTTTTGATTTTGATGTTATGAAAGACGTCAAAAGATGTTCTGATGGTGGGAAATCCTCCAACGGTGTGGATTATCAACTATCAACACCCGTGAAAGCGCGGTGTGGTACGACGGTGTATAGCGCTCAATGCCGAATGCCTTATTTTGGCCTGACTTACGCCTGAATTAACTAACGTAACCGGTAAGCGAGCCGCCACTGTAAGCCAGCCGCCAGCTTCAAAACACATAGTAAATGGGACAAATTACAACTTGATATCTCAACCACCATAATATAATTTTAGATCTATTATTATTAGATAGGTATTGATAAGCATTTCTAGTAGTATATCTTAGAGTTGAATAACTAAATCAAACCCCTAGATTAGTATAGTATCGAAAATTACATCTCTAAATTCGAAAAATATATATATCTTAGTCATTAATTTACTTAATTTCCCTAAACTCCAACAAGTGGCTAGATATCCTATAAAAAGCATTAGGGTATAAGAAAAAGCTCATATAGTCAACCGTTGTTGTAATATCATGTTGTAATTTATCGCATTTACTATGTGTTTTCAAGATGGCGGCTCGCTTACAGTGGCGGCTCGCTTACCGGTTACGTTAGTTAATTCAGGCGTAAGTCAGGCCAAAATAAGGCATTCGGCATTGAGCGCTATACACCGTCGTACGGTGTGGTATCTTTGACTGCAGATCTATATGACCTGTCCCTCCACATCGCCGTTCTCACTCAGCTGAAGGGGAAAAAAAAAAAAAAAAAACAAGGCTTTGGAATCAAATCAGTACAGATTTTCATACAGGGCTAAATGCAACTTATTAACCCCCTACGTGTAGTATGTTGTAGAACGCTACCAAGTACCGGTCAGTTAGGTCTGTGTCAATGAGATTGGGATCTAAGGTTTCTGATTTAGTGCCTTGACTACATATATTTACTCTCACCTATCACTCTAGTCTTTACTCCGTATACAAATTCGCCTAATTGACCTGCCTTCTGCCTCGACAAATATGCGGTCGGGGTGTTGATGGGGCGCCGCCGAGCGTACCTACATAAAGTTGCATAATAGTACTCCGTACTCAATTTCATGCACACGGAGGTGATCACCCTTGCATGAGATAAAATCAAACTGTGGCAAAGGAGAGAGACTAGAACACGTACAGACTAATTCCTAGTCACCGGACCAAAACTAAAATCAATCAAATAAAGAAGTGGGCTATTTTAAAACGAATAGATACGTTGAAGCTTCTTCCGCCCGCTAGTTGGTTCCTAGATCAAATAACGATAAAATGCAAGAAAAACAAAACAAAAAGAGAGTAAAGCAACTCAAAAACGAGTTAGACTACCAATATTATGCTCGTACTTGCAGGGATATTGCATTACCCTAAATCCCTCTCTCTGGTCGCTATCATTCTCCAACGTTCAGATAAGCCACAACTGCCCCCAAAATAAAAACGAAAAATTCGATGATACAAAATTCTACGCGCAGCAAAGTATTGTTTTACTATTGGATCTCGGGCTAAAAATTCACGGAGCTAATGACAAACGAATATAGAAAGCTGAAGGAATGCTGGAAGAATGTTGGGAAAAGTACATGAACTATCGGTCTACATATACATGCATGTCAATATACAACAGTCTACCCTAGTGAAATTCACCCAGCGCTAAAGAAGCGGTGTAGAGATGCATATAGTTTAGTCCTAATTCAATTTAGTTCTATGTTTTCAACCTGTATTGTATAACACACAACATAGTCAATCTGTCGAATACTGTATTCTTTCTTCTTCAACTACTCTCTCTCTCTCTCTCTCTCTCTAGTATGCGTGCTAATTCAATTTACTATGGTATCTAAGATACCGCGTACCCCGAGCCCCCCGCCGAGCCCTCCCCCGGAGCTAGATCCCGAGCCCCCTAATCCGCGTACTACCTAGACCTAGATTGAGCGAGATACTACTCTCTATATACTTACCCTAAGTAAGGCTAGATGGTTATAACGGTAGATTGCGGCGTATCTTAAGATTACCTAGAATCAAGTACGCCGGACGATTAAACGAGGTGCCTCTATACCTTATAAACCTTCTAGAGCGGCGCCGAAATTAACTATAAGTAAGGTTGATAATATTATCACATTTATTATAGCGAACGAGGCTAATCGCTAGCTCTTATATAAGAAGCTAATTAAGATTTTTAATCTTAATCTATCTATTAATACTCTTCGGCGAACTTTAGCGAAAAGGGGATATTACCGCTATATTACGTTTAGACGACCGGATATAAAGGAAAAGAACCGGATAGATCGTCTTAACTAGGCTTATACTTACGTTAACTAGACCTATAAGGATTAGCTTGGGGTTATTTAGACTAATAAAACCTAGGTAACGCCTAGATTCTACCGGAAAGTACGGGTAATACGTTTACCGACTAAGGAGAGATACCCTAACTATCTCTAGCCTCGATACCGGAAGTCTAGAGGATAGATATTCTAGACCTCCTTTTTAGGTCTTAAAAAGGGTCCTACTCTTTTTTAGGAGAAGGAGTAGGGTTAGATTAGTACTAAGAACTATATCTCGCGTATTACTCCTTTGATTATAGGTTTTATCGCCTCCGAAGTATAATGAATTCGATTATTATATACGATAATACGCCTAGGTATACTACTAAGGAGACGCTAGAGTATTTTAAAGAGCTTAGGGTTTATATGATAAATTGGCCTACTATTTCACCTGATTTAAATCTAATTGAGTTAGTATAGAATTGAATAAAGGACTGGATTGAAGAGAAATATAGAGATTAACACTTTCTACCTAGTAAGTTCCGTTAGATTGTATAAGAAGCTTGGGATATAGTGCCGGATGACTATATAAATAGCCTTATTAAAAGTATGCCTATGCGGTGCCAGGCGGTGATCGATACAAATGGGGGTCCTACTAAATACTAGTTAGTATATAGTATGAATTGAGAGTTGAGAGTTGAGAAATCTGTTTTTGAAAATCTGTATTTGTTTCACTATGTAAAAATATTATATTAATTACAAGCTAGTATTTAAACTAATGTATATAGGTGGAGGTGGGTGAATTTCACTAGGGTAGACTGTTGTATGTGGAGACAAAGCCTGTTAGTCTCAGCCTATTCAGGGAAATAGGGACTGGTATTTTGCAGCAGATCTCATACGATAACCACTTTGCTGGTGATTAATGGATGTACATGGGTTAGAAGCAATGAGAGGTGTCTGAGGGATCTCTCGGTATTTAATATGAGTTCAATTATGGCGCTCTCTTTCATCTGACGCCATTTCACTCCCAAATGGCGAATCTCACTCCTATATCGTTATTTTCTGGTTCTTCAAGACGTGAGAGGCTTGTGACCTCCATGCGAGCTTTGATTGACAACGATAATGTTGATCCCGATATACTCAAACCAGGGACTCCCTGGCCTAGCATGGACGAAATAATGGGCAAGCCCCCTGGGGAAGAACAGATTGCTTTCGACTGTACTCAACACCAGAGTTCGATTCTTGAAGATCCTGCAATTGAGGCGGAATTCAGCTGCCCGGTAGATCTGGGGTTCGATGCCATGTCAAGCTGGCAGAGTGATCAACACGGTCTGGCGTCGTACATCACCGATGCAAGCCCGACCGAGCAATATCGAATGCCAAGCGCAACAGTACCCGAAAAAAACATTATTGATCCCCATCTACATTCTGATCGTCAATTGGCTCATACGTCACCTAGATTGGGAGGATTAAAGTCCCCTAATATGACGCTGGATTCATGGGAACTGTTTTCGGGAGGCGGAAATGAATCCCAAGACTATACCTTGCCCGGGCGTGAAGCCCGGGATCACAAAGCAACCCCAGATGGCGATGGTTTCCACCCGAAAACCCGGAAACCCTGGAAGAACCAAGGCCCCTCGAGTCGTCGGTCACCGAATACTACCCATCACCCGCCAAAACGCCAGCGGTCCCATTACGTTATAGAAAAGAAGTATCGAGCTGGCCTCCAGGAGCGCTTCGAGGCGCTCCGCGGCTGCGTAATGGCTTGGAATGAGTTCCAGCGCCGAGAATCTGCTTCAGGTGAAGCAGCAACAACTGGCGATGAGTTAAGTGGAGGTAGCAAGATGAGCAATGGTGGACGAATGAACAAGGCAGAGGTCCTCAGTAATGCGGTCACCTACATTCAGGAGCTTCAGGAGGAGAACGAGGTTGTGATCCACCATTTAAAGCTGCTGATCCGGCGGTTACGGGGGGTGAAACAAGCTCTACAAACGGATGATCTACTTTGTACCTCAGGGTTGTGAACAGGCGAAGGCTGATGAGTAGGTTTTGAAGCTAGTCAGTGAGAAATTTCGGGGTCAAATTATTTTCAATGTCGACGTTTCGTCTTTCCTAGTCTTTCATTTTTACCGAAGGAAAACTTGTTGTGATATGAAGCTGGTGTAGATCAGGAACCAAGCCGCACCGTCGGAATTAGCTCCGAAGTGTCTATACGGACGACCAAGTTGATTTCCAATCAACTTGGCTCATTGTGGTATATATAAGCTCATGTATCTTTCTAAAATAATAACTCAATTCATACCTCTGAATAACAACAAAACTAAATCCATGGTAACCCGGTTATGGCTCGAAACATATACCCCCTTTTCTACAAGTTTCTCGGACAAGCCCCTTTTAACCACTCTCATGATGTGATATCATGTATTTCACGTCTGCTTGCAGTTGTTGTGCAACACTAGCGCCAGTTAGATGACCCATGGCAGACGCAGAGGCAAAGTATTTGTGGCGAGAAGCGCAATCACCAGTCGCAAAGACGCCCGGTTGGGATGTTTCTTGCCAGTCCCCGATCATGATGTCACCATCCGGGGTGAGTTTTACCCCTAGTTGCTCTGGTAGATCACTCGCTTGCTCGGTTCCTGGGTGATAAACAACTAAGGAATGTTGCTGTGGTGCAGCCTCCTCTAGTACCACACGTACCCCCGGGGTTGACTTTCCGTTATCTGTCGCAGTCATCTCCAGACGTTCAATAAAATCTGGCTCAATATCGCATCCAGAGACCATGGTCATGGCCTCGCGCAGCTCGGCTGCCGCTCGTGTGTTACCGTGTGTATAAACGCGGACACGCGAAGTGAACTGTCTGCAAGAGCGTAGCACACGCATGAGAGTTGATGGCACCGCAAATTCATCCAATGCGAGGATTCCAATGGACTCAGCGCCTCGTTCTTCATGGCCATGGCAGAGGAGACAGTGGGCGACACCTTTGCCCCAACACTCATCGAATCCATCGATACTTGGGAGCAGATCTCGAGACCCGGTAGCGAGGACAACCTTTCGACCATGCCATACTGTTTCAGACGAATCAATGGCTTTAAACGGGCCACTTTTGCTTGGGGTTCTTTCGCTGCCGGGTACGTTGGCGTTCTCCTCGACCCGACTGATGGAGAGTACTTCCTGATGGACGAAAGTACATTGCCCTGAATATCTTTCTACCAGCTCAGCGCGGGCAGCGGTGCGAAATTCTTCTGGGAGTCGATGGTCCCAGGTGGAGACCATGTGCATCTCTCCATATTTGTTGCGGTAGTCCCCCGAATCAAAGATAATAATGCTGTGATTTTGTCTGCAAAGGGCCAATGCGACTCCAAGTCCTGCGGGCCCTCCGCCGATAATCAGGGCATCTGCAATGTCTAGCATTTTCGTCATCTTAAGTTTGTCTTGGTAGCGAAATTATCTCTACTTAGTATCCCTTGATATGAGATGATATATTTGAAATGGGTGGTGCTGGCAAAGGTGGCACCACCAATGCGTGGGGCGATGAAGTGGTTTCGGTATCCTAAAATTCGATGTGAAATCATACTGTGTGAAGAGAGGGTTGTATGTAATCTGCGTTTCTAGAGAAGCTTGGGCTACCTGCAGTGTATGCTTGCTATGATATGTTGTAATCGGTTTGTTGAGCACTGGTGGCACCACCGGTCGCATCACCAAAGAAGCACCTCTGCGTTAGATACGGAGCGCACGACCAAGGAGCGAAATACAGAGGTATTCAATCTTAGCAGGGCATCTTCGACCGAATTGATGAGCTGTTGGTGCGAAAAACCAAATCAAGTCTCTAGATACCTGGTACTGAATCAATCTGCGCCTGTCGCTGTCGCACTTCCATTATCATCGTTGCCATGGTAGATCTAAAAGAGCCAACCGATAGCAATCATGAGCTGGCCTATGACTTGCTTTTGACCTTGCTCGAGTATGTGGTATAGTTCATGCGTTCAACTCTCGATGTATGCTAACATGCCTTCCACAGACACCAATTCTCCTCACCTGTCCAATGGTATGCTCTGGGAGTTTAGAACTACGGAAAAGCACCAACTAATCTACTTGTGGTAATAGGATTTCCACGCAGGATTCATTGCTCAATGGAGATCCCGATGGACGGTTCATCGAGATAGGACCTGCAGACACGTTGATGTCTATGTTGAAGAAGACCTTCGCGCAGGGATCGAATGGCATTACCGGAGAACAGAATGCAGAATTTTTGACGTTCATGGAAGAAATTGCCAGGGTACATAAAGTACCTGATATGGTTTTGGAGGAGCCGACGCTGCCATCACAGGACATCGGGGTATCTGGGACAGAGGCGGTGGAGCCGATCAAGGCCGACGAACCCATCAAAGCTGCCATCGCAACTAATACAGAGATTAACGTGACGACGGCTCGCCAGATTTCCGAAATCGATGATGTGCCTCCTCTAGCATCAGAAGCCCTGCTAGCTATTGTAGCTTCCGCACTCAAAGCTTCGAGGGCAAGTATCGATACAGCTAACTCCATCAAGTTACTAGCAAGGGGTATGTACTTTCTTGCAATGTTCCTCACACGGATTTAGCTAACCCAAGAGCAACTCCACAGGACGGTCAGCACTCCAAAACGAGATCATTGGAAACTTGGTCACAGAGTTCGAGCAGCTCCCAGATGCGGTGGAAGAAATCCCTTTGGTCGAGCTTAGCCAGGACTTGCAGAGGACTTTCAGTGGCAAGCTCGGTCTATATTTGAACGAATGGCTTGGCAAAAAGATATCAGCCAAACTCGCCCCAGGGTTTACACTCTCCAAATTGCGCAATCATCTCAGAGATTCCTTCGGCCTGAAAGAAGGTCACCAAAATTCGTTCTTTTTGACTGCTGATTTCGATGAGATTACCACTCGCTTGCCAGATGATGGGAAATCATGGGATGCTGTTAATCGTTGGACACATTTGTATATGAAAGCACGTGGTTTGGAACACGCATTGACTCAAGCTGTGACGGAGGACCGGGGTCAACCGGCTATGCAGCAAGATACCACCAGTCCTCAGCTGGCTAAGTTCGGCCAAGACCTTGCCCACTTAATGGCGAAGCATTTCACACCCCCAGAGTCGGGTACGGAGACAGAGACAAAGCTTCAACAAAATCAAGAGCACGACCGGAAAATAGAGTATAAGATCAATCAGCTTTCGATGGAGCTTGGACCCGAGTTCATCTCAGGCGTGGAGCCATATTTCTGCCCTGAATTAGTCCACCGGTATCAGTCTAGCTGGAACTGGGCAGTTCAAGATCTATACGTGACTTTGTCGAAGATCATAACAGGCTCCACGGAGATGTGTGGAGAGCCAGAGCTGCAAGAATGGATCGAAAAGTCAGTGGATCGACTTCAAAGTCGATCCACTGATCGGCTCCGGCGATGCGCCGAGTACTTGCACCACAAATGGGAGCAACTGCCACAGACGCCCGAGAGAGATGGCTGTCTCCTACTGCTGCGTCCACTGGTAGAAGACATCGAAAGTCCCTCATCAGGCTCTGGGTCAACGAGAAGGGATGAGGATTCTGTCGACGGGGATTCAAGTGATCCTCCAAGCTCGTATCCGAGCCTACCTAACAAAGAGGCATTCACCCCATCAGCTTCTTCATTGTCTATTGTGCAGAGTCCCATTAGAGTGTCTGTGAAAGATCAGAATGGTGCATGGACGACTGACATTTATTTGACAAACCGCCTTCATGAGGTTGAGACAAGCCCACACTCGAAGCCGATGACCGGGACTGTTCTGGTAATTGGCGCAGGAAAACAATCTATTGGCTTTGTTCTCGTGAAACAGCTACTCAGAGCTGGGTCGCGTGTCGCTCTTTGTACCACTCGAATGACACCAAGTACCAGGAGGCTTTACTCCCGAGTATATGCTGAGGAGGCACGAGCAGGAGCTGAGTTGGTTCTGCTACCATTCAATCAAGGAAGCGTGCAGGATATCACAAAACTGGTTGACTATATTCACAGCGACATGGGATGGGAAGTGGACCACCTGGTACCCTTTGCAGCAATATCAGAGATTGGAAAGACTCTCGAGGACCTAGATTCTCAGTCGGAGCTCGCACACCGTATAATGCTCACAAATACACTTCGATTGATAGGTGCAATTGTGAGCTCTAAGCGAGACCGACATGTGTTGAACCATTCCACACAGGTTCTGCTGCCACTGTCACCAAACCACGGTCAAATCGGCGGAGATGGGCTGTATGCTGAGTCCAAGTTGGGTCTAGAAGCACTTTTGAACAAGTGGTCTTCCGAGCAATGGTCAGATGCAGTGTCCCTATGCGGTGTCCAGATAGGTTGGACAAGAGGCACTGGCCTGATGGAAGCTAATGATATCCTGGCCAATGATATTGAAAAGCTGGGAGTCCGAACATTTGCAGCAGAGGAAATGGCATCGCTTCTCACCATGGTGATGGAGCCTGCTTTATTCGAGGCGTGTAGTGTACAGCCCCTCCTTTGTGATTTCAGCGGTGGACTGCAGACGCTTCCAGACTTGAAGGCATGCATGGATTCCGCGCGTTTGAGAATTCAGACAGACGCCACAATCAAACAGCGAATACAGCAGGAGATTACACATGACCAAATCTCCTCGAAAGCAGACACACATCTTAACAAGCCACCCGCGCCCCAAGAACCTAGGGCAAGGCCCCGAAACGATTATCCTGAACTCCCAGAGTGCTACAATGAGCAAGTCCCCCCTGACCTGTATAGGTTGGAGGGCCTTGTTGACCTGGATTCCATGGTCGTGATCACCGGATTTGCAGAAATCGGCCCAATGGGTAGTTCCCGGACGCGCTGGGAAATGGAGGCTGAAGGCGTATTCTCTATGGAAGGGTGCATCGAGCTCGCTTGGATGACTGGAATGATCAAATATGAGCGCCATCGCATCCACAACGGAAACAATGTTGGTGCTGGGTGGATTGAGTGCGAGTCGGGTGAGCCGATCAGTGATCTTGACGTGAAATCCAAGCTGGAAGGCAAAATTCGCGAGCATACCGGAATCCGCATTCTTGACCTAGATGACCACTGCAACCCCAACCCCAGGTTACGAAACATGCTGCACGAAGTCGGTACCCAAGAAGAGCTACCACCATTCGAGTGTTCCTCGCAAGCAGCAGAAGGTTTCAAAGCCCGACATGGAGACGCTGTCGAAATTTTGCAGGATGATGGGACTACAGCCACCGTGAAAATCCGACGTGGGGCATCCATCTTCATCCCCAAGGCACTGAACACGGATTATTTCGTGGGGGCTCAAATTCCAACTGGCTGGGACCCCGCAATATATGGTATTCCTCCTGAGATATTGGCCCAGGCCGATCGACCTTCGCTCTTTGCATTGGTATGCACCGCAGAAGCCTTCCTTGGTGCTGGAATCACAGATGTATACGAATTGTACAAATACATCCATGTTTCCGAAGTTGGCAACTGCATTTCCTCTGGTTCCGGTGGACTTACAGCCTTTCAGGCATTGCATGAGCATCGCATGTTGGGTAGGGAGGTTCAGCAAGACATTCTTTCTGAGATTTTCATTGGAACAGCTGGCGCTTGGGTGAATCTCCTTCTTCTCTCTGCATCTGGTCCCTTGAAAACTGCTGCTGGAACCTGTGCATCATCCCTTGAGTCGGTGGACACTGCATGTGAGCTTATCAGCAGTGGCAGATCCAATGTTTGTATTGCGGGTGGTTACGAGGTCTTTACCCGACCTATTTACTATGAGTTCGGCAACATGACAGCCATCATAAACTCGGCTCAAGACTCAAAGCGTGGAAGAGAGCCGAGCGAGATGTCGCGTCCATTCACTTCCACTCGGAATGGCTTCGTCCTCAGTGAAGGAATCGGCCTCCAAGTATTAACGAGTGCATCCTTGGCTTTGGAAATGGGATTGCCCATATATGGAGTTATCGCTATGTCGCACATGGCAGCGGACAAGATAGGGCGATCGATCCCAGCACCGGGCCAGGGTATCCTCACAGCGGCCAAGCAATGTGGATCACCTGGCTTGTCTATGAATCCAACACTGCGTGCCAAGCGAATTCGCACATCGCTAGGCCATATTGAACGCCAGGCTCAGGCAGACATGGATGCCTTGCGGGAAGAAATCAGCTTCATGGAGTCCAGGGGAGAACCTGTCTGCGCCGAAGCGATGGAAACACGACTCCGGGGACTCCAGGAGGAGGTGGCTTTCGAGAAAAAGACTGTACTACGTGAATTGGGTAACAACTACTGGCGAAACAAGCCCAACATTTCACCCATTGCAGGAGGGTTATCGGTTTTTGGTCTTTCTGTGGATGATATTACCTTTGTCAGTATGCACGGGACAGCCACGAAACTGAATGACAAGAACGAATGTGCGACCCTGGAGGCGCAAATGCAACATCTCGGGCGACACCCTGGGAACCCGATGTATACCATTGCTCAGAAGTCTGTTGTGGGCCACGGGCTGGGAGCTTCGGGTTCTTGGGCGTTGAACGGGGCCCTCCAGGCTCTACATTCGGGTATCATCCCCGGGAATCGGAATGCAGATGATATCGATCCTGTTCTACAGGATTTCGAGGGGCTTCTCTTGACAAATGAGAACATCAAGCTCCGTGTATCTGACATGAAAGCTTTCTGTGTCGAATCTTTTGGGTTTGGGCAGAAGAGTGCACAAGTAATTGTTGTGCACCCGCGCTATCTATATTCAGCTATCTCGGAGAAGTCGTATCAAGAGTATCGCAAGAAACAGATTGGGAGGGCAAGGATCGCTGCCAGGGAACTTGATCGCGGACTTCACGGCCAAGGCATGTTCAAGGCAAAGGAGGAGACGCCATACGTGGGTGATGAGCATGCTTTCTTGCTCAATCCGCTCGCTAGGACTCAGTAGATTATAGTAAATATAATCACACTTTTCGGGTATATATCGACGTATACTATATTAAAGGCTACTAATAAAGCCGCGAAAAGTACACAGGTTCGTGTGTAGCTTCCTATAACTAGTTACAAACATGGATAGAAACTAACTGGGTTTAAAATTCGCTTCCACATTTTCCATGAAGAAGCTCTTGGTCTTTACACAAATAATGAACGCATGATATACCGATTTTTATTGACTAAAAGATAGGAATTCCATAAGTTAACCTTGGAGATAACTTGGCCAAGGGGATAGTAGTGGCACCACTGCATATGCTCTTTGTTGTACGGTGGTGCCACTGGTTGCTTCTGCGGGGAAATTGAAAAGGAACTACGGAGTACTCCGTATCCAGCCCCTCCTTGCCCTAGTAACACACGCCTTCCATCAAGTCATATCCAATAATTTCACCATGACTTACGAGAACACTTGGGAGTCATGTGAGGCTCGAGAGGATGTTGTGGAAAGTCCTAACGGGACCCGATTGTTCATAATAGCTAAAGGGGCCCCTCGATCCGCCAACCATCCAGTTGTTATTTTCGAGTCAGGACTGGGCGTCAGCGGTGCACAATGGACAGCCGTGCAACGACTGTTAGACCCTCGCATCCGCAGCTACGCCTATGATCGTGCTGGGTACGGAAACAGCCCGGAATCGAAAACGCCACGCAATGCAGCCAACTTGGCGGCAGAGTTACTTGATGTTCTCCGAGCCGCGAAGATAAGTCCGCCATACATCGTCGTCGCTCACTCCTACGGCGGAATCATCGCGCGTGAATTTCTAGCTGCTGCAGATGCCGAAGCGATAGCCGGGATGGTGTTGGTAGATACCAACCAGGAGAATACACACCCTAAGCTTCGCGTGCCCTTCTCTGCCATGCAAGCACTGTGCGGCGAACGAGACTACTCCGATGTTATTGGGTTGTTCCGTGAAAATTCCTGGACCCAGGAAGAGCTGGACCGCATTGCGACAGACGGAAGCGTCCCGACCGCGGCGAGCACCACGGACAAAGAGGCTGCACTTATACTCCAAAGCTCCATTGATTTGGGGGAGAAGCATCAGTTGGATACGCGTCCGCTGGGCATGCGACCGGTCACTGTTATTCGAGGTGATTCACGTCGCGACTTTCAACGTCTGCGCACTGCTGCCCAGGAAGGTGACTGCGGTACCAAAGAGCATTTCCAGGAGATGGACGAATTTCTCCAGAATCGCTTTGACGTTTTCGACCGTGAGCTGCAGATGCAGCAGCTGAGTTTGTCGGGTAACAGTCGCTTTGTCCAGGCCACCAACAGTGGACATTCAGTTATGGCGACTGAGCCTCAGCTGGTTGCCGATGAGATTCTCGCTGTCTGGGACTCGAGCCTGTAGCGCATATTCCGTGGCAATTTTATTATATAGTCACTTGGCAGATGGCTTGCTGTACGAACCGCGTGGCATGAGCAGCTAGTTAAGGGAAAGTGATAGATATGTCGAGAAGTATCTGTTCCGTCGCCGTGTTTTTAGCGCTTTGAATTTAACGGTTTCGATCTATGATTTCGTTTTATACCTTCAGAATTATAATATCGCTCATTTAGAACCTTTAGCCCTTCGCATTTTAAATGTTTTGTTCCTGTGCTGGTGATGTGGGAATAGTTACTATGAACTGGGTAGAAAAGTTTGGCATCTACCCTGACTTTAGTATTCAGCACAAATTTCGCAAGTTTAACAAAATAGTCGAGTGGGCAGACGAACACGCCGCCCCATCTTTGCCATACAATCGGGGTAGGATCCTATGTCGAGAGCTGACTCCGTGTTTTTGCTAACACCACCTCCTTGCTCGTTTTTATATGGTTGTATCAATTCGCGACCAAGACCATAATACCACTATTGCCGAAATATATATTTGAGACGCGCATCTCCGACCAAGTCAGAATAAATATTTGTATATAGGTTGTCCCGAGGACCGCTGACCAAGCCATTTGTGCTTTCTTTATCCAATTTACATACCGTCTGACCAAGGAGATAAGAAAAGAGTCATATGGTGTTCGAATGTCTCCTTACATACGGCCTGGAAGAAAGACATGGTTGGTTATTGAAGAGAATTCATATTACATCAAGGGTTTGATATACATGTTCCAAGTAGGCTTCCGCAAAGCCCATAAATGGGCCCGGACTTCCGGCCCAAAGCCTGACCCGTACTGGGCTATGGGCCCTACCTTCGAAACCCGACCCAACCCACAGCCCATTAGTGGGGGCCTATAAAGCCCCCGTTAAAGCCCATCTTAGGCGGCCTCTGTAATCGCTGTATTATAACCTTCTACTAGGTATATAAAGTTCAAAGTTAGAATCTAGTATTATAGTAGTTGTATAAGAATATTACTGCTTTCTAATTGAACTTCTTTAATTTATAAATTATCTAAATAACGCGCTTTCTCGTATTTTAAAGAGAGATAACTAGTAATTTTCGAAATCAGCTATACCTCCATACTTAGACCTCGCCAGAGTCCAGCGTTGGACACCTTTTTTGGGCTTTTTCTTGGGGGTTGTCCAGACCCGTCTAATTACAGGGTAATTATAAGGTATTTCATACATAGGGGGTGTCCAACGCTGGACTCTGGCGAGGTCTGTCCATACTCTTCTTGATTCGGAAAACCTAATTCCGACAGGCGCTGGATTGGTTTAAATGCTCTCACCTCGTATCTTAGACCTTTTTCATTTCTATCCTCGTGAGCTAGTATGAAAGCTCCCATCCTTGCTCCGGTGAAAAGATATAGTTGAAGAGCTAGCGTGATGATAGCCTTAAGCAATCCGGGCATAAACTGGCGATGATCCGCTCGCCACATAGAGGATATCACTCGGAGAAAATCCTTCCTAGTAAAGCTATGGGCTGGATCCTCGACATTCTCAATCTTTCCTTCGTTTTCTGTCAATGTTCTCTTTACCCACTATGCCGTAGTTAGTTTGGCTTCTATTCCGGAACACGGGAAGTAAAATCTATATAGGGGCTTACACTAGATATCTCTTTCCGGTCTTCTAACACAATCTTAATTTGCAATTTTTCTTCAAATCCACCAAATAGCCTCTCCGCATAATTAAGAACCGATATCATCACTAGCCGTCCATTTTTACTTTTTTTTTCCCTCGCGCTGAATGACTGTACTACCGAAGGAATTCTTTAATAAGTGTATGGTCTGGAATCGCATAGCCTGGCCCTATTTTGTAGCCCTCGATTCGTTCCTATTCAACGAACCTAAAAGCAAGTAAGTAACTCATTCGCTAGGTATTTCTTATATATAAGTGAATGTCAACTCACTTCATCCAAAGGTTAACAGTATAGCAGTACATCCTCTTGGTCTTAGGTATCCTTTTATCTTTCTCTCGGATAGAATCCTTATCTACATGAGCCCCAAAAATGTAGCTGCTCTCTTATAGTTGTTTGTGGCGCTTCTCTTTGGCGATCTTATCTTGTTGAGCAAAGAATTGTTTTCTACCCATGGCCAGTTAAATTTCCTATATAATGCAAAAAAAATGGCCGAGGAGCTGAAAGAATGAGGTGGAAAACAGAGAAAGCTATCTTGGAGGCTTGGAGTAGGGAAATAATTCTAATTTATTATTTAGTAATTTGATATGACCGAAGACTTTTCTCTTGCGTCGCCCCTTGATAGATGAACTCCGTGCCTTCCAATTTGCGTCATCGTGCTCTAGTGCGTTATAATTTGAGAGGGGAACGAAATCGGAAGATCGTGCACCTCAAAAAGTAGGCTCTTACGGTGAGAAATGATGGCCATCAAAAAGTAGTTCGCAAATAAACAGAATTGTGGGGCAAAGGGCTTCTTTGGGTATGGACTGAGCGTGGACTGAGTGCTCAATAGATGGCTCTGAGCCGCTCACTGAGTCTGAGCCCGGGCCGAAATTTACTCAGAGAGCCTGACTCTGAGCGCCCTCATAAAAGCGGCGGCAGCTAAGATAGGAAAGCCCCACCCGGCAGAGGAAAAATGGTACGTATAGGTACATATGTAACAGCCCTCGATAGATAACCAAATGGCCCTTTGTCACTATAGTTGCCATCTTCAACTGTATGAAAAAGCTCCCTATCCACCCATAAATCCATCAAACTCATCATCGCTATCCGGAAGCAGTGGTATAACTTTCACATATCGCATCGGATCGATGACCTTTTCATCGGAGCACTCTTGGGGCGACGGAGCATCCAACAATGTCTGTAGAGACTCTTCATCGATCACCATACACATGTTATATTGGGTAGAGAGACCTTGATCCTCCTGTACATCGACCCAGCGTCGGAAATGAGCGCGAATAGAGTCCATCGATGCTCCTTCAAATTTTGGATGGTTCATGATGATTGAACGGTGCTGAGCCCAGATCTCGTGGTATGAATTGAGATCTGTATTGGTTGAGGTATTGTTTCCCGAGACGCATTCAGAGTATAATCCATGTTTCATGTAGGAGTTGAGAAGATCGATAATTCGGAGGAATGCGGCGTTGGAATGGGGAGTATATGTAGTGCGATAAATGACATAGCCCCATGTTGATCCGTTTCTAGTGGCCGTGTGAAGGTGCTTGGTAGGCCAGGATAGTCCGTTGAGATTCATTGTGATGTGTGTTTTGAATGCTGTAAGCCAGGACAATACAAAGAATGGGATGGGAAGAAAAGAGTCACGAGCTACTCGGATTTATTGATTTTGTGTCTCTACCCTTCTCCACCTGCGCTGACGCTAATGTACAACCGAGGAGGGGGCTGTTCATTACTAAGATCTCACTTGGCCCCCAAGGCCCTTTAAACGCAATTGTTCGGATATACTTAATCCAGACAAGTGGAATTCACATATCTGCTTGTGGTATTTGCGGACAGGAGGTAAGACTGCCGAGTTTGATAGTATTTAGCTGCAGGAGATAATACTTCTCGGTTTTGGGGATGTACCTATGTAGGTGAGCACCTAGTATCATATTAGATTACATTGTCTTGGTCCAGAGACCCTCAGCCCCACGCTAAACCTAATTCAGTGAGGCTTATATAGTCAACACGAACCAAGCGGGAAAGAGGTCGCGCGACCATTATCCCATTATAGTATTTTATACCATCGGAATTTGAGTATCATATTCGCTTGCTTCTCACTCATTAATATAGCTGTAGTGGCTTTTTAGTATAGTATCGTGAAAGAATGAGGTATCGGGCCACACGTAGCGGTACGAGATTCAGTCTTACCTCTCTTGTCAGCTTCCAGGGGTTCCTGTGAGACCCTTGCCAAGACTAGTGGGGGCTGTCTTGGGCACTATATCTGTACTAGTCCACTAATGCCTGTATGGTAAACCCCAGCTTATCCGTACGACTATTACCAGGCGCTAAGAGAGATGAAAAATCGAAGACAGCCTCCCAGGGTAACCTACGTCGTAGGTAGTCTCGATCTCTGAGTCTTATCAGTCCTCGGCATGACATCCCACCGCTGACTATATGGGTTGAATTATGCTGGAGAGAATCTAGCAGCCATCCGAGGCAAATGCGTCCCCGATGATCTGACGAATTAAGTGGCACGGTTATGCGTGCTTTGAGGAATCTGCACCCACGATTGCCTCGCGCAGGAGTTGCACGGGCACATTCTAAAATATACACGCGCTTTGAATGCGCGTGCGATATTGAGCAATCAAGTTCCGAACGCTAAATCACCGGACGATTTCCCTTATTGTAGACCTGATGTGATGGATACATGGTCTATGGCCATGCTAGTCCAGGAGATAGATCACATGTTTCAGGAGGATGTCGTTCTTGTGCGTGATATAACCATCGTCAAAATTGGATTCGAGCTCGAAGGCGATGTTATACCTTCTTTAGTGGAGAATCTCCAGCTGAATATATGCTTGGCGGATCCATCGATACGACCGTCGCCCCCCTTCCAAGAATTAGACCTTGGAGAGGCGTATAGGGATGCGCCATATGTGGAATCGGAGGGAGATCGTAAAATGGTGGGCTTATGGCCGGGTCCAGGGAGACCTCGTGGCGGATACCGCCGAAGGGGCCGTGGAAGGAGAGGTCAGGGTTAACGTCTTACTGTGGGGCTCATTTTCGTTTCTATGTATATTCATGGATGTATTATACCCTTTCTTCTACAAATTCAAAGTCAACTCAAAATACGAGGATACTGGAAGATCTACACATGTTGCCAGTTGTGGCAGGACCGAGACATCCAGGACCTAAGCCAGATGAGCATTACCGGCAATATATTGGGTAGAATTCATCCTACTGCCGGTTTTGAGAACACTCTTTACATTAAATTTACAGCGTATTGTTTCACAACAATGCAGCTTTGTGTCTGGTGGAGATGCAATATAAACTAGCGTAATGACTAACCGAACCGCCCCGACCGCAATTTTCACCCATGGACTCTTTATCCAACATGACATCCAACATGGGTTGCACGTCTTCCTTTATAACTGGACAAGCTGGACAAGCCGCAAGTGAAGATAACAACTAACAATCCCCCCCCTGCGGATGACACCATTTCAGGGGACAAATAGATGCTTCATTTTTTGACTTCTGGTAATAGAAAAAGGGAACATCTATCAAATCTTTCATCTATACAGCTCGGGAGACGGGATATGGGATGTCTTGATGTCCTCATGTCGGTACTCCTGATAGTAGAGCTAGTACTGTAGGCACCAGTACAAAAGTAGACAACTCCATGCGTGGCGCCATTTTTGGTTCCCAACATGATAGAGCAGCGTATTACGGAAACGATAAGGGTGTAACTCTTGGGGTTCAAATAATATTGGCACATGGCCAATGACCACAGCCAGCGATCTTGATAGCTTTCTAGCTAATGAGCCTAGATGCTAGACCCGTGCGCTACAGTTCTAAAGTGGACGTAGTTTGTGATAGGAACGAGAGGTCGAAATACGTCAGAATACGTTCACAGTGAGGGAATGGTAAGGTGGTAACAGATACAATTAAATTGTTCCAAGGGCTTTGTGGAAAAAAAGTAGTATATGATAGTAGAGTTTGACCAGGAGAAAGATATCCGCTCATAGGAACCTCGCACTCTTGGGGATCTCACCATGACGCGAATTAAGTCCCTTTCTTTTAGTTGCTGTGGGTGTCTCAAGCTTTTGCCCTCGTTGTAGAACACTCTCATAGCCATGCTTACCATGCCCGCCATCTGTTCTTTCAACACCACACTGCCATTTAGCAAAGAGATAACAATGTACCGCTACAAATCATGTCCCTCGGGCCCTCTATTACCTAGGGTCTTCTGTTAGCCAGCGGCAACGAATACGCAAACGTCTGCGTGACGGTTTACGGTTCGATGATTGGGAGGTAGACATGGTAGAGACCGAGACAAACCGTGGTATGTTTGGCAACGTATTCAGCCTTCCTACCTTATTTAAGTCATATATTCATACACTGGCAATTACTTGCAGGAGGTTGAAGCCCACTCGGGTGATACAATCGACCAAGTCAAAGCGGCTGCGCAAGGATCTCTAAATCATGGTCCCAATGTAGTGTTCATCAACGCTGACGAACGATTGCATCTAGAAGTCGACATAGTAAACACGGGACAACGCATGAGATCTCCGATCAACAGACTGCTCGCCGGCGATGACATGGGGAAAAAAAGACAATATCAACCCTTATACCCTCAACGGAGGGTAATACAGCTGCTTACTGCCCTACTGCCAATGCACAGTTCCGTCAACTTGTCCACGAAATGTAAGATGACGGAGTCTCCATTGTACTTGCCGATATGGATTCGAAGACTTGCGCAGGGGCCCTCAAAATAGCCGTCATATCACAGCGCATCGATGCACGCCGCAGCAGGACCCAGGACCGGTTTGGCGATGGTCAATGCTCTGTCAGCGCGCATTCTAGTGATTCACCAGGTCATCACGTTGATGTAGGAAGTCGTTAACACAACGGGAGAAATTGACACGAAACCGCAAGCGACATATTCTGCTCTTCCTCTCGGCCCCCCTCTCCCTCATTCCTATCGGCGGCGTGGTCATCGGCGCCATTAACGCTTGCTAGCATCGGGCGGTTTATCGCCTTGGTTGGTGAAGTGAGTTTGGTGGGTATGGATATTTATTCTGTTGTGGATGATCCTTCCTCCGCACCATTTCTCATTTTTGGTTATATTCTCAGCGCAGATGCGCTTACGGACGCTGTCAAAGTCAATAAGGCTGCTAAGGTGAGACGTAAGCTTGGTGAAGATTTTGGGAAGGGTATAGCCAAAATCGAGAGTATTACGAGGGCGTGTAAGGTGTGCATTAACAAGAAAAGGCATTCTGGTTATCAAGAACCTGCTTGTAGTCCTTCAAATAAGCTCTGTCCTGCGGATGCAGTTACAGGATCGATCGAAATCACTCCTTAATACCTTAAAATACGCTAGTCTATACTAGGCTTAGCGCCATCGGAAGGATTGAATCGTGTCGAAACATTTTGTCTTCTGTGAGACCTGACCTTGTCTACTGTAGATTAACTTGAAATGACCATGGAGTACATATGTATAAATATACAGATACAGATTTCCGCAAGTTGATATAACAGTTTAAATGCTCCGTCAGTACAGGATGTGTTTGTATTTCGGGTATAGGAGAGAGAATTGTCATCGGTGTAAATGTAGAGCTGAAGGAATAACAAAGGTCCTACCGCCCAAGTTCCTGAACGCCAAGATGTATATCGCACCAAGCCTGAACTAGCCACACCGTTGAAACGAATCAAAATTGGAAGGTTTCCTTATTCTAATGTGGAGCCAAGCCTATAAGAGCCCAGTGCTGATCCTAATATCCCCCGGGGGGGTTTCCAAGTATATTTTAGACTTGGAATATAAAGAGTTTTTCAATAATAAGGATCTACATCGTGGAATCACTGAACGGTTTGGTTCGCAGGCTTAATACATGTGCAACATATGTTAAATGTCCTATATTGTACATCGCATAATACTTCCTATTTTTTTGTTGGGACGTGGACTTCTCCCCCTATTAACCCTATTGACTCCTATTTGCCAGCCACAGTCCTTTCTCCGAGATCCACTCACCTGGCGCTAATTTTCTACCAATTTCGCCGTGCTCTGTACTACGTACACCGTATGCAACATATACAACATAGATTGTTAGGGGAAGTACGGAGTAAACGGAGCCCGAACTCGGCACTCCAGGATGTCCGATTCCGTGTTCCTGTTTCTGTATACTTCTTTTTACCTACATACCTTGCCACATATCGGGAGCTGGGGTCTTCCATTTCACAGATCTTCCGAGGAAGCTTAACTCGAACTGCTTTTGCTGTAAGGGTTTGGATAATGGCATTCAGATACGCTTGTAATTGTATGTCGCCTGGAAGACATGTATTGACTGGATGCAGTACAATACAACACACATACTTGGCAAGAATACCCCATTTTCGCATTCAAAAGCTTATGATGGGTTGTCGACATCATATCAAAAAGGATCTACATACCACACGTCGAGGCCTGGCTGGATGCGGCCAGGGGGTGGGATGAAATATAATCATATCATAACAATTGAAGCCGAACAGTTTCTAGATTGTAGAAGAGGATCATATCATATTAATCAAGCCTTTTGAGAGTCTTGTGTTTCCAAGGAA